TGTACCGTATTGACAGATGTATTTTACAGTGATTATGTATCGTATTGACAGATGTATTTTACAGTGATTATGTATCTTATTGGCAGATGTAACGGTTGTTAGGCCTTTTGTTTTGGAGAGCTGCCCTCCCCATGCACAGCCTATAAATATCTGTAAATAAAACAGACCTCAGGTCAGACAGCGTCCACTTCTGAACCGTAGCTCAGGCAGCTGGCCGCTTTAATGTTGTAGATAAATGCAGGTGTGTATGTTTGTGTTTTTACATCCATTAAATGGATGCATGTGTGACCGTCTGTTGGTCCCACCTACCTTGATACTCTCGCCGTCGAGCTCCAGCGTCCTCTCTCGGAAATCGACCCCGATCGTCGCCTCCGGGTTTTTCAGGAAAGTTCCCCCGCAGAATCTGTACGTCAAACACGTCTTCCCCACGTTCGAGTCCCCGATGACTATTATCTTGAAGATCCGAGCTGGCGCAGTGTCATGATCGCGGTGCGAGGTTAGCTCCGAGGAGTCACTTTGACCGAAAACGGTGTCAAATTCGTCCCCAGGTTTGTGTTCTATTGCCATCGCTCATGTTCTCGCGGTCTGGATGTGAGCGGCACTGAAACCTCGCGAGAGTAAACGTCACTTGAGCCACATTTCAACTTTATTGAGAGAAATAAAGAAACCAACAAATCTACAGCTTTGGTTTCCACACATATTTCACTCTTCTTTTGAATGAGTTTACCAAAAAATCTAGAAGTAACAGGTTCGTAAAATGATACAGAAATATATTTGAGGAAACAAATGAATTGCCTTCATATTCTCAGGTTTAAAAAAAATTATACAAATTATATTCGTTGTAAATTCTATTTTGATATTCAATGATTTATCTTTCATTTACTTAATCAATGTTACTTATTGCGTTTGTTGTGAATTAATGAATGAAGTTTTATTTTCTTGTCTGTCCATTTACATAACATGTAATATAACAATGGAAATCAAGTACAGTATGAACACAAATTTATATAACAAACACAAAAAAAACATTTATGTGCCACTTCATGTCAGTTAGCAAACTGTTATAAATAATAAGAATAAATAATAGTCTAATACACATCAAATGAGGCTTTTCCCCCACTTTATTGCATGCTGTGAAAAATTCAGAAAACAGAACTTCGTTAAAACTCTCCAATCAAATCTAAATATGAAACTTCAACAGATGCTCTCATCTTCATCCATCCCACTGTAGCCTTCAGTTTCAACATGTAGTGGGAGTATAAATACTTTCATACTACAATACTTCTGAAAAATGTACTGTGTTTTTATGCGTGATACACTAACTTGTTAAATACATTTTTGGAGAAAAAAGAGACACAAATTCTCCTCTGCATTGTGTTTGTCGTGTTTATTTGACACAAAACAGTTTTATAATCCAGACCATGTGTTACCATTGACAACCGCTCCTTCACACATATGCACAAAACTTAAAAATGTAACACTTCAATTATCCAGCATATAAAAAGGGACAACAATGAGAACTGCACTCATTTACCAGTTTATTACGAACCACTAGCAGAACCTGACTCAGCCTCATACAACAGCCCTGTAACTAATCCAACCTCTGTGAAGGTTAGAGTTGTATTAACCGTTTTACACAAGTGATGATTCTGCTTGATGGTGATTTTGGAGGCTGTAGTTGACAATGTTGCATTAGACTGAGAGGTGATTCTAATATTTTGTCTACTATCTTCTATCAATGCGAGCAGCCACATTAGAAACCTGTCTAATAAACTGGTAAGAGAGTGTGTGGGGTGGCTGGGCCTTTGCAACAGTTCCACTACATGCAGACAAAATGTCCTCAAATTCAAACGGATCATCAGGACAAATCGATACTCAAAAAACACTTTGTGGAACATTTGGATTCCTGATTGAAAAATAACCGTTAAGTTAAACATCAGACAAGAAAACGCATCCGTAGGATCCATAAAATAGTTTGAAAGAAATGTAATAAAATGTATAATTTGTGTTCACTCAAACCACCTAATTGTTACTACATTAACAAAAGTAAATAAATCATGGCATACGGGCTTTTGCTGAAGCCTAAACCTGAGTGAGCATACAAAACATTGGCTTCAGTAGTTCTCACAACACCGGCTGTGTGTGTGTGTGACATCTTGATGTGCTTCGACAACATTTATAATAATGGGGGGGGAAAAAAAAAAAAAAAAAAAAAAAAAAAAAAAAGGAGGACAGGAAGTTTTTAAAGCCCTGTAAATGACTTGTGTTAGAAGTCATAAACGTGAGGCACTTGAGCTGCCGGATGTCCAAAAAAGTCAGTCACGATTCTGCACCAACTATAATTTATTCACGCAAAATAAAATCTATATTTCAGTCAAACGTGCGTCTTTATACGGCACATCGCAGGCCCCCCGAGCATCACAGGGGCCCTGCGCCAATTAAACACGTCAAAGTCAATGTGCTAGTCATGGCAGTACTACTCAGCCTGTGTAAACACTTACCTACAATGGATTGTGTAGCTCTGGAGGAGCATCGTCAAGTATAAAGCAATTTGCATTTTTGCAGCGGTTCCCAAACTTTATCCCCCTTAAGAAATAGATTATATTGTCCTATATCGACTCAAGAGCAAGATAGACGTCTTTGTATTTTGTATCGTTATGATGCGTTTGCACGTTTTTCTTTCGTCTCTGCTTTGAAAAGATATTAAACTTCAGTTTAATTATTAATAAATTCTTCCTCTGGTTTTGTGCATCTACACTGCAAAGGCTCATTTTGGAAACCACTGCATGATGGGAAATGTAAGATGACCTTAACGATAAACTCTCAGAATAAAACCACCTCTACTGCTTTGGTTTTCTGTTGTTTGTTTGTCTTGAGTTATTGCGTAAACAAGACTCCACCAGGCATCAAGCTGTCCTTCATGCTGGCAGCACATGATACAAGATGAACAACAAAACCCTTGTCTCTTAGCATTTCTGAAACAAACTCCCCTCCCTCTCTCCTTCAGTGAATGCTCATTAGCCGGACAGGAGACGAGAAAGTCGTCCATGCGAAGTCCAGATTTTGATGGATCAGTGCTTCTACTTTAAAAGGCCGGCTTCTGTTACCTCTCCTAGCAGACGGAACCCTGTTCAATCCGACAAATCCTAAATAAGTTAAACTTTTCTTTGACGCAGCAACTACCAGTTCTCGTCCGAGAAAGAGCTGGAGCTGCCGGAGTCAGAGTCGGCGTCCGTCAGCCCGTCGAAGTCCCAGTCGGCGCTGGAGCCGCTGTCGTCGTCCTCCTCTGTCGAGAAGCTGTGCGCGGAGCCCAGGCACGCCGGGTACACTCGCGTCGAAACGCACACGGGCCCTAGGGTGGACACGTACACCGCCATGATGTTCTTCCAGGCATCCCGGGCGGGGTCGTACTCGTGGATGAGGACCCTGTTCTTGTTGTGCTGCAGCAGAGTCTGAGTGAGGAGGAGGAGCTTGCTGTTGTGCTGGATCACCTGGTAATTCAGAGCGCGGCTGTCGATGGGTATGTCGCCCAGCCTCTTCCACTCCCCTCTGGCTGGGCTGTAGGCCTTCACCACTGGGATGTCGCACACGCACACGATCTGGTCCTGGTACACGCAGGCCTTGTGCAGCTTGTCCCGCCTCAGCGAGCCGCAGTGGCGCCAGCGGTTCCTCTTGGCGTCGTAGCAGAGCATCCTCCGTTTGTTCACCACGTACAGGTGGTCGTTCAGCGCCACCACCTGCATTTTGCCCAAAGAGTGAGGCAGAGGGGCCACAAACGTCCACTGGTCCCTCTGGACGCTGTAGCACTCCACCTCCTTCAGTCTGGCGTCCGTCACGGGATTCCGTCCCCCCAGGAGGTACACATGGCCGTTGAGGTAACCCATCCCGGAGTGTATCCTCCCCAGCGGCCTCTCCGCCAGCTCCTGCCAGCTGTTGAGCACTGGGTTGTGCAGCCAGAAGTGCTTCGAGAGGTGGGAGGCCAGGTACAAGTTGTTATCGGGTGCAGCACAGGCGATCAGGGACTCCATGGTAGAGCGCTTGTAATCCTGACTGCTGAGGTCCTCTAACGGAGGAGCCATGAAATACAGGTCCTCAGAATAAGGGTCGCAGCACATGATGTTGTCGTTGGGTAGGCCGAAGAAGAGGATCATCTCTTTCGCGCTCACGCCCACCCTGTGTTTTGGCGCGTCCAGAGCCGCGGGCGTCCCGCAGCCGTCCTCGGTCGAGCCGTTGTAGAAAGACGCGAGGTATTTCTCAATCAGAGGCCTGGCCGTCAGGCCCTCCAGGTAACACTTGTCCCTCTCCGTGAACAAGTTCCAGCGCACGCACTTCAGTGCCAGCAGCGCGTCCTCCCGTCTCAGCGGCGCGTTCGCCTCTATCCACTGCAGGGCGGCAGAGCACACCTTCCTCTCACAGTCCACGTCCAAGGTGTCCAGGGACAACATCTCCTTCAGCTGCGTCAGATCCAGCTCGCAGAGCTCCCCTCCGCTGCACACCTGGCCAAAGTTCCTGGCTATGAAGGCTTGCGCGCTCTCCTTCAGTCCAGGGTTATCGTACGTGTCGGCGAATTTGAGGATCCCCACGCAGTTCGAGAGGTCCAGCCTCCTCGTCATGAAGCCGGAGCAGGCTTTCCTGATGTACTCCAGCTGGAGCATGTTGGCCGCCGCGTACAGCCGCTGGACGTTGCCCTCCGTGATGGTCACCCTGCCCGTGTAACAGTAGTCGATGATGACGGACATGGACTCTGAGTCCACGCCGCGGATGACCACCCTCTCCTGCACGCTCTCGTTTAACCCCCCGGTGAACATGCTCTTGAAGTAAGGGCTGGCGGCGGCGAGGACGTTGCGGCTACACAGGAAAAGTTGGTCAATGTCACCTCCGGCCGACCCCCCGCTGTGCTCCAGCGACTCCTCGTCACACTCGACCCGGATAGTAACGTCTCCGAGCAGCCGGCAGTCGTACAGTGACTTCAGCTCGTCCATCAAACCCCGCGCGTGATTGACGTCCTCCAACACCTCGGGACCGCCGAAGCAACCCAGCGCCGAAGCCATTGCTGCAACTTCGGTCGAGCAATTTGCTATTTCACGTCGGCGAAAAGTATCAAATAACCCGCTGCCATGCGGTTGACATACTCAACAGCGCGAAAGAGTCCGTGCGCTGAAAACCACACATCCGTTTATACGAGAAAATCAAACGGGTGGTGAGATAAATACATTACCAGCTGAACGGTCGCCCATGTGTCTCACAGAGCCGACAGTTCTCGGCCTCCAACCGGTCATAATGTCGCGTTTACATCAGAAATAAACCACGTAGTATTCACCGAGAGTCTCCGTGACATTTGTCTTTTTTTTCCTGTCAACGCTGATATCTGTTTTGGGTGAAGGAGACGGTCAGGCTCTAGTGTCAAACGGTCTGGGGGCTGGAACCATATAGAAATCCATGGTTGAAACTACATTTTCCGGGAGAAGTTGCCAAAATAAAAGCCCATTTCGTGTATGTGTTGCACAGGGTTTTCTTTGTTTCTTTACATATCCAATTCAAAAAGTCCTCGAATGATTATCATACTAAAATCAACGTTTGTCACTTTCCACTGATACATTTTGTCTTTTTAACCTAAAATGTTTTTTTTAAATATCTTACTTTGAAAGTCATCTTATTCGGCTTCCGCTCTGGCTGCATGCTCGTCACACAACCTTGCTAAGAAAGGCTTCACCGCTCTGATTGGTTTGTCTAACTGGGTCGATAAATGTTTGGTTCATTAGGATTGATTCAAAATGATTGATGCAGGTCAGATGCATAATAATAATAATAACAATTATTATTATTATTATTAAAACTACTGCTACTACTATAAAAAAGCTCACTAATTAACGCCTTATTTCTTGCTTCATTATGTAGGCTACAATGATAATAATACCCCTTTACTGTCAGATGTTCGTTTAAGCAGATTGAGTGTTGCACATAAACTTCCTCTCTATACAGAGTAACTAATAACATTAGCCATCCAATACTATCCAGTGTTCTTTACCCTGCCATACACACCTGCATTACTTGGAGCAGAGACAGTTCAGAAAGAGCATCTTTGCTTGTAACCAATATAAAGTAGCAACCACACCACAAACTTAACTGCAGTAAACAGTAAAAGTTGACTTGCATATTGCATGTTTGTTGTCCTTTGCTGTTTATATCTAAATATATTTTTCATATAGTTTTAAGTTTGCTTTTCTATCTTGTTTTAAATTGTATTGTTGTCTTATGTCTATATATCTGTCCATATGCATGTTCATTTCTCATTCAGATTCGGTAATGTGGGCTTTTTGAACCGGTCACAACTGTATGTGCCTGCTACTGAAGCGATTAGTCGATTAATTCAGTCAGCAATAATTTAAACAGCTGATTAATCATTTCAGTCATGTATCATGCAAAAATATCAAACATTTACTGCTTGCTGCTTCTCAGATTTGAGAACTTACCTTTCTCTCTTTCTGTGTATCACTGCAAATTAAAAAGCTTTTGGTTTTGTACTGTTCCTCAGAAAGTTTTATATAAAAAAGGCAATTTTTTATAGATTAAAAGGAATTAAAGATGGAAAGTATATCAAAGTTTTAGTTTTCTTACAAGACAAAAAGTGGCATGACTATATATACACGGCCCATGCTTCTCATTAGTTTCTTCAGTGACATGCAGTACATTTATTTCAGATTACACTGTGCAGTATAGCCCATTTGTAAAAACAGCCACAGCTGTGTGCACTTTCCCCCAGCTTCAAGTGACTCTGCGGTTGAGTTGGTTGATCCTGCGCAGTGCGTCTTGGTTGTGGACTGTGATGAGGAAGGGGAAGGCCGAGGGCAACTCGACCCTCTTGCTCAGCTTCTGGTGGCCCCAGTGGAGGCAGCGCAGCCTCTCTGCCAGGTCCCGTCTGCCTGCCCGCTCCAGCCCATCCTGCAGCAGCTTGGTCTTATTGGGCTTGTCCCATGACCTCTCATACCTGTGAAGAGAGATGGACGCCTGAGCGGAGCTGCAACGATCAGGCGATCAACAGAAAAAAATAACCGCCAACTATTTTAATAATCGATTAATCGTTCATGCAAAAATGACACAAAACGCTGTTTCCAGCCTCTCAAATATGAAGATTGCCTGCTTTTATATCTCATTAAAATGAATATCTTTGGGGTTTGGACTGACAAAACAAGACATTTTCAAGACATCCCCTTGGACTTTGAGAAACTGGGATGGACATTTTTCAGTATTTTCTGCCTTTTTCTTGACCAAACGATTAATCGAGGAAACAATTGTCAGATTAATGAAAATAATCCTTTGTCGTAGCCCTACACCTGAGAGACATTTGAGCCCAAGGAATGGTACAGAATACAGTCGATGATAGATATAGTGCTATGAATATCTTATAACTCATAATAAAATATGACATGAGAAGTCCTGATCACCTGATCATGATCCATTCCTGTTGCTTTTAGGTACGATTTGAAACAAACATTGCACAGAATACCCTGGTTATAATATCAATTATCCCAGGAAGCACCTCTGTACGTTGAAGTATTAAGTTAGCATAATGACACTTTAATATACAATATCTGCACACTCTAAAGTTACTAAATCTTACCACAACATCAAGTCACACACACACACACACACACACACACACACACACTACCAGCTTTCCAACATGGTCCTAGCCTGGACGCTCCTCTCAGAAGATTTGGTGCGGAACCGCCCGACCTCGGTTCTGTTGAAGCCAAGCTCATACGCCAGAAGTGTCCACTCAAAACCAAGCTGCCTGGACATCTCCTGCAGTGTCTTCAGGTTGATGACGGCATCCTAAAAATGGCACAAAAGAAAGACAAAATGCGAAATCCCCTGAAGATAATGCCTTTAAAAAAAAGGATGCGTTTACTTCAATTAAGGTGTCAATGATAATCTGATTAGGTACATGAAAGTGAAAATGAAAAACAGATCACATGTACCTCTTGTGCTTTGTTGGGCATTATTTCAAATTCCAGAAGGTCAGCAGAGCAAGGCACACTCTGACTAACTGTCTTCATAAACCTAATTTAAAAAAGGGATCTTTTGAAAAAGAATAAGTCTGCACAAATATTAGCGGTTGCTTTATAATAAACAATAAATTTACCGTCCCAAATTCCAAATAGCAGGCACTCACCCTACAGCATGCCAAACATGAGCGTGGTTTGAGTGTTACTGGGGAGATTCATCGTCACCACACTACCCTCTGTTAAACATTAGTACCTTTAGCTCCAGGGTCCCCTGTGGAGCCAACAATTGCCAGGTCAAAACAGTCAGACCAGTCTCTCCAAGTAAACCTGTGCTTCTGCGCCGTAATCAGAGTGAAAGTTACCCGTTATATTTTACAGAAAGAAAGTAAAGCTCATCAGTAACTGGACTAGTTTGGATTTATGTATTTTTAATTGTGCATCTTGCCCCATTAAGTCAGACTGCTTAGAGAAACTGGTGAGAAATGTTCTGATTTCAGTCAAAAATGATAAGGCGATGCTTTTTTTAAACCATTGTTTTTAACATGAATTAATCCTTTTAAAAAAGCAAAAAGCTCGCTCACACACTCATAAATGACATTGCTGATAAATAATATGACAGTATGTCATCTTGTCGCTGTGTACAGTGGAGTAACAATGCCATCTACAGTTGGTAAGGAATACATTGTTTCTCATACTTTAAACCCCCAAGTGAAGAAAAGACTTGAAATATTTTTTTTGAAAGACTTTTATTCACTTGAAAAATTCACCTCCTCTTTAAAGTCTTGTCAGCCATAAAAAGCATCAGGGCTCTTTGTGCAATATCATTGCAGCGATTATGTTTATCGAAGAGCATTCAAAATCTCAGCTCTTATGTAAACAATAAGGAAAATAATAGTAAGGATAACGTGTGCACACTTACTTTAACCAAGGTCATACTTCACTTAGGAAACACTATAATGTGTTAATCAGAGCTCTGATCAAAAATGCTGCGAGGTCCAGCCAATAAATATAATATCAAATACACTACTTTTCAACAGGCACAGGATGTAACAAAATCCCAGGTTCAACTTCATATCCGACACCACGGTCTGACAAAAATCAATAGTTGCTAAATTAGTCGTATGAAATCAGTAAAAGCATGTACAAAAGCGCGGGCTGTCTTTTCCCGAAGCTTCACTCTAACCATCCACAAAAAAAACGCATATCAAAGAAGATCCAGTTCACACGGAACAACAGATTATCAGAATTTTGCCAGGTTGTTCCATCGTGTGTCAGTCTGTGTTTCAACAGGTAGTAATGTGAAGGTCCAGCCTGCTGGACCCGTACTGTTCTCAGTCCTTCAAGTGAAGAGCAGCGGCCTTTACAAACGCTAACAGCCACTCTCTCTTGGGTCGCAGCCGGGCCCTCCTGACGGCAACACTTGAAATCAGTGCGTTGCCCTGGGATCCCTCCTCAGCTTCCGTCTGATTTGGGTTCAGTAGCAGCCATCTTTCCAGCTGCCGTCCCTCAGGGCTGTCAGGGCAGCCAGGCTCTTTGGAGGAGTCAGCAAACTGTAGACGGAGAGAAACGAGTCCATTAAAAAAGACTGATGAGAGGATGCATCGTCATCCTCAAGTATCACAACAAACTGATTGTTAAAGTTCGACCTTTAACTACCAATCAGTATAATATCTAAACACCTGTGCTGTGTCCCAACGCCATACATATTTATCATTTGGTCTATAAAACATAAGTAAACAATATAAAAAGCCCATCTCAATATCCTACAGAACAAGATGAAATTGTTGGTCGAACAATAGCTCGAAACCACCACAATATTAAATTTACTATAATTTAAGACCAAGAAAAGTTTTCTTTTTGATTAGTTTTCTTCTCATCAATTCATTGATTGATTGACCAATTATACAGAATGTACTATATGTGCTATATATGATCTTTATAGTGTACTATTTCTGCAGTAAGTATGCAAGAAATTAACATTCAACATTGAACATAGTCAAACCTTTTCATGCTGACAGAAAATAATACAAAATGCAACGTCAGACGTCAATCAAACTGCAACTTTATGTCACTTAAACTAAACAAAGAAACAGAAAAGTTATTTATGTATGGTGTTGCTGGAGCTGTTTTACCACAACACGAACATCTTTTCAGCTGTGAGTAGCTTCCAGGCAGAAAACTCCGGCTCTGAAAAGTGAAGCCAATGTGGAAGTGCCTTAAACTTCAACTCACTTCAATGTATTCCCTCAGTAAACATTGTAAACATTGAGTTTATGCTCTCGATCACTAGTTTCAAGCCTTCTTCAACAGCATGATGTTCATTTCATGTCAAATTTAGAGGCAAATAGAACATAAACAAGGTTATGCTTTAGGGCAGGGCTACCTTGTGATTGACAGGCACCAGAGCCGTACATGGCATCTCTACATCACTCCTCCGCCATACAAATATGGTCACTTACGTACATTGGTTGCAAAAAACCAAGATGGCGACGGCTGTAAACTAAGATGGCAAAGCCCAAAACTCAATGCTTCAAGACGGCAGTCCACAAACCAATGGGTGACGTCACGAGGACTACGTGAATGGTAATGGCCTGTACTTGTACAGCGCTTTTCTAGTCTTTCGACCACTCAAAGCACTTTCACACTACATGTCATTCACCCATTCATACACTGATGGAAGGGCTACCATGCAAGGTGCCTTGTTTTGAATGAGTAGGCACCATGGGTTTTGGGACGCAGCTTCGAACCCAGTTTCAAAACGCATTATGCTTCCAAGTTTTACCGTACGGATTGAGATATGTCAAACCTGCGTGTGGGCTGGCCGATCTTGCTTGCACGTGGAACTCCACTCGTTCCCACAAAGGAGGCCGGGCGAGGGAGGGAGCTGCGGGTGACGGCCGGCTGATTGCCGCCGACTTTCAGGGGCTGCAGCACCAAACTGCTGCTCAGTTTGAGGGGCTGAGGCGGTCCCGCGCTGCCGGGTATGGAGTGTAGACTGATGGAGGTGGACAGGGAGGTGGAGGTGGGGCCCTGCTGCACTATGGGGCTCACGTAGGCCGTGGCTTTTAGCGGGTGTCGGGGAGTGGTGGGGAAGTTGCCCACGCTCTGGACCCGCTGGGTGAGCTGGCCTGGGGAGGGAACTGAAGCACAGCAGGAGAGCAAGTTAGATGACAGTAAGTCGAACATCGGTGGCAGGATGGCATTTACTGCATTTGAAACTTTGCGACAGCCTTCAGAAAACATACGCTCATGAATAGAAATGAGCCGTGCGCGGTTCATTTCTATTCATGTGTTTGAAGCAAAAAAATCTTACTGGAGGACTGGAGTCGTGCAAGCCCACTGGAGGAGTCAAAGCTCTGGCTGCTCCGCAGGGAGGATATCGTTGGCAAGGAGGAAGGGCCGTGGGAGGGTGGGTAGACAGGGGAAGCCAGGCATGGAATGCTGGGAACACTGGGCATGCTGGGAGCTCGGAGCAGGTTGGGCATGCTTCTCCGTAGCTTGTCTATGCAACCAGATGAGACATTGTAGGTGTCGGCCGAAGCGTGGTAACGTTTTACTTATTACTCAACATTAAAGGAATAGTTCTACTTTGATAAGTCACTGCTTCTAGCCAATAAATTACCCTGAACATAACCTCCTGTAAAAGCCCAACTTGTCATTTTTACAATTTGCTTTTGTACAAATTAAACAAAACAAAAAATGATTTAATCTAATGTTAATAAGTGAGATTGGGAGGTGCTGATAGCCTGGATTTTGTAAGCTTTGGACAGAACCATGCTAGCTGTTTCCCCTCTGTTTCCAGTCAATATGCTAAGTGGTATACATCTTTTCATCTAATACTCTGTAACAAAAAAAAGATCACATTTTTGCGAAATTTCCATTTTCCTGAGGATGTGGGTAATTCTGTATTTGGGACACTTGAAAAAAATCAAGTTCAGCTTCAAAAAGTGGACGTGGTATTGGTGAAACACTCACCTGTGCTATTCCTGTATGCTGAGTGTGTTTCCATGGTCAGGCTGAGGGGTCCAGAGTACTGGGAGAGTCCGCTGAGTGAGAACTGAGGTGCGATTGAGCTGCGTCTGCAGTCTCTGATACTGGAGAAGGTGTGAGAGTGGGGCAGGCCGCCCCGCTGCATAGAGCCGAACAGTCGAGGCTGGGGAGGCGGGAGCTGGTCGTAACACTCGTCCTCCTCCTCGTCCTCCTCCTCTAGATCCATCTCGCTGCGCCGGAGGGAGTGCAAGGAGAAGCTGGATCTGCGCTGGCCGGCTGTGGCGGTGTGCGAGGTAGAGGCGTAGTCCTGTCGGAGGCCTGCAGGGTGACAGATCGATGCTTTTATCCGTGGAAAACATGAACCTGAACCTCATTCAGTATATGATGCATTTCATTCTGCAAGGCGCCGATAGACCAGACTGATACGTTTACTCTCAAATCATCTGCATAACTTAACAAAAAGATATTACTGTCAACTCAAGTTCAACTGATCCAAAGTCAAACATGTATCTGAGCCATACATCAGTAATGCAACACAGTGATCAATGTCACTCCCTTCAGACGGCTATGCAGCAGTGTTAAAGGGACTGTTCACCCCAAAATCCAAAATTCATGTTTTTCTCTTCAATATAATGGTGCTAAATGGAAAAGTGTATTTCTTTGGCGCTTTAAGCACCACAAGCTGCCCTATAGTCCCATTATATTAGAGAGAAGGCAGACGTCTCGACGGCCGATATCTCCAGAGCTACGCAACTCAATCTATACTCAGTGTGCGAAATAAGGAGGGTCTCGGGGAGTCTGAGACCTCTTGATTGACACTTGAGAGACCCTGAAAGCCTCAATTTAAAAATTTCGGGGAGTCTCTAAAATCTCAAGACAATTATCAAGACTTAAGTGTATTTTTAAAAGCTTACTAATATTTTCCCATTACATGCCCAGCAGTTTTCATTATTCAAACTGCAAAACATATATTCACAAAAGTGAGTGTGGGAGACTATTTACACGGTAAATGCCAGTCAGCCAGAGACGCAACAGGTTTGCACGAAGGAGCCTGTCTTTGCGTCAGTTTGTGGACCTAAATAGACCCCCTCTGGGAAAATTTGATCCAGTGCCTTTCCTGTGAACCTGGATTAAAGCAGGACGTTGTCTCTTCTCTTCTTGGACCCTATGGAACTATAGAAGACAATATAAGACGACAGAACTATAGAGGATAAACTAGTATTTTGATTTAGGGGTGAACTGTCCTTTTAAGATACAAAAACAAAAGACTATAGAAAATCAGTCATCAAGAGGCAACTGTAATTTAATAAAAACAAGATGTGGACAAACTTATTTCAACAGCTCTTGGAAAAGGACTTACATTCTGAAGTTCTAAACCATAAACACTGTTATGAAGTAGTTTCCTATTAGGAATGCCAACTTCTCAGCTGTAAAGAAGGCCAAACTGTAGGTTGTTTTTCACGAAGGGTATATTTTTGATCCGCAAGACATTTCAACAGTCGACTCACTCTCCTCCTGAAGTCGTGCCATGACCTCCACGTCCGTCATGTCCTGCAGTTTGTAGCTCATAGAGATGGAGTCGTCCTCCAGATCTGACACACCCACCTCACTGTCCACGGAAGACTGGGGGCTGATTGCCGCGTGTCGGCGGCCCACGTCTAAAAACACACAGGGGAGCCACATCTATACCACCAGGATACTTCGCTTGATTGCATGTGAGACAACAGAGTGTTAAAACTGCAATGAATGGCAGAGCGGAGAAGACGTATTGCCAGTGAGGTCTTACTGTGGAGAGTGGAGTTTGATAGGAAGGTGGGCGCTCTGTCACTGAGGCTGGCCCTGAGAGGCTGGAGGAAAGACTGAGCGCATGATGGCAATGGAGCTAGGAAAACACAGAAAAAGAGGGAGACGATTCATCGTTAACATGCAAATCAAAGCTCAACTCACTGACATCTGTGTTCATATAAAATATGGATGTTTTTGTTTTTTTCTGGTGGAGTTTGAGCTTGCTTGTGTCCATCTGTCCGAGGGAATGACCAGATAATCTCCTCCCCGGGAATCTGCTGTAATCTGATTGTAAACTGCAAGTAACAGGTTGTTTAAGAATCTGGGTTATGTTCAGAGAGCTCCAAAATTATTTTGGAAGCAACATGTGCTTTTGGCTCTGTATTATTTTTACTTTGGATTAAAGGTGAGAGTTGGTAGTTATGTTTGAAGTTTAATAGATTAAGTTTAATGTTAGCTAATAAACCCTCATTTGCACATCCAATGATTTGGTTGTTTGCTATTTCTGAGCACTGAATGAGGACAGAATAAAAGCAGGCTTGAGTCCCCACACTGGCAGGATCAAAGTGGGTGGGGAAAATGAAAAAGCAGCACTGTTCAGAAGCCAAACAGATCAGATTGTGGTTGTACTGGGCAGTTTCCAGGTGTAACTGTGTGACTGTGGAGAGGTCAACAGCCATACTAGGGGCTGTGTGAGGCTGCACAAAGGCACAGCAGTGCTTTGAGCTAAGCGCTAACGTGCTCATGTCTAACAAGTAATGTGTCTCATTATCACCATCTTAGTTTAGCATGTTAGCATGCTAACGTTTGCAAGATTTTGTGCCAATCCATCAAATAGCCATCGAGACATTTAACTTAAAACCAATCGTGCACATCTAATGGCAGCATTAAGGTTAAAGTCAGGAGATACACCAAAGTTATTAAGATACACCATCTGGGGACCATGAATTTGGGTCCAATCCAACTCATAGATTTTAAAACCTATTTTACAGGACAAGTAAATCATTCGGACTGCTGATGGTGCCAGAGGAAAAGATTACCTAATTCATCAGGATTCATCCTCTTGGGCCCATGAATGCCTGTACAAAATTTCATTGAAATAAATGTAATAATTCTTCGAGATATTTCTGTCTGGGCCAAAGAGGTGGACCAACGAACAGGCCGACATTGCCATCTGAATAAGATGATAAGAAACATAACAACCGTTTAGTACTAAGCTACTGACCTAAAGGATCCATCGGTTATAATGAAACATGGAACTGACAGTTCACTATCAATCAGCTGATCAATTCATTGAGTGTTAGCAGGAGTTATATGCCTGTGTAGTATCTGTCTGTGTTACCTGGGGCCACGGTTGGTGCAGCAGGTTTCGTGTAAGGCAGCACGGGGCAGCTGAGGGTGGACAGTCCCTCTATGCAGCTGTATGGACGGACCGAGGGGAGTCCTCGCCACCGCTTAGCTGGACACAAGATTGTAGCGAGGGACACATTAGACTGATTGCTTTACCTCGTAACACACACATACAAACCCCACACACATGGAGGACATTGATTCGATTCGGAGACACTGTCCGAAAATGTTAATCTGCTTTTTACAGATCAGTATTGATGTTTTAAATGATCGGGTCACGGCTCGGACAGACGAGGCTGATACGGTAAGACGAGGTTTAGCTTACCACTGCGGCTTATTGGGCTAAACTGCAGATCTTCTTTTTTTTTTTGGAGGGATCTTAGGATAAGCAGGGATTGTGCATATAGGCTGCCTACATCGCATTCCCAAAATCAGAATTAGATTTGGGGGTGTGGAGGTTACATTTATACTACTTCAGATGTTTCCTGTTTTATGAATTCCATGGTACACACTGTCATAACATATACGTTATTAATGTTTATAAGCTGTGACTTATGGCTTTAATAATGAATAAAACATAATCAATTAGGTTTAAAGATTAGTAATAAACCACTCATATGGAAAGCTTGTCACCAATTGATTTTGGGTTGCCAGGCTCAAATATTGTCCTTACGAATGGCTTAATAACTATCTATTAAGCATTAATAAATGACAATTAGTTACAACTCCTAATGCCTCATTAAAAGTGGTATTCTTCTTTTACACGAATCAATGCTGGCCAGCAGTGAGTGCGTTTGGCTATGAATGACATGACTGACATTAGATGATGTGCGTTCCATGTGTCAACCCCCCCCACACTGATTGGTAGTCAGAGAGGCACAACACTCCGGACAGAGTGGTGCATTTTGGCATTCCTGACGCAATTAGGCTCAACTGCTAATGGACGAAACTAGCATTCACTGCAGGTTACACAAAACAACAGCTCCTGGAGCTCAGAGACAAGGATGTATTCATGACCCAGAGGAGGAGAGCCAACCTTCACTGAATGCAGCTTCTAGAGAAAGAAGAGGACCTTGAACCGCACACAAACACACACGCACACACTAATGAACATCCAAACAGACACTAACAAATCTGCGCTATTGAATTACAGTCTGGACACAAAGTGAGGGTGACTGAGCTGAGAAAACTCTCCTTTAAATATTAAGAATCTAAGCACACACACACACACACACAAGTTCACACAGCATATATTCATGCATGCAACAGCAAAGAGTCTCTTGTGTTTGCGCTGCGAGTGCCGAGCAGATCAGCCTCAAAACCAGAACCCAGTTAATGTAAGCAAGGTTTCTATGGCAACCATATCCCCGTGCGTGAGTGTAGAAACAGTGAAGCCTCGAATCCCAAAAACTGTGTCAAGCAGCAAATGTCATTCAGTAGCTCACTAGAAGGGATTTTGAAGTATCCTGGTGTGTTATGTGCGTATGAAAATCATATCGTCGTATCCAGGTCTGCCGCGAGCGCAGGTGCGTCCTCAGCTTGAGTTATGTTGTTTTAGCCAGAAAAACAAGAACACACGAGGATGATGATGTAACAATAGTCTACATGATGAAATGCAAAAGCTGTAATGTAGTATCTTAACTCAGGTCCTCTGTAACTGATGAGTAGATGGAGAAGCTTAATCCAGCAAAAAAATCCTCATCATCTTCAAGAGTCGAGGCGACTCAGTTTATAAGGACATGTCAGATTAGTGTGATGTGGATGAGCCAAAGACGACAACACGGCACAGGCACTCTCAGCAAACTGTATAATGTTACAACCATGTATACGAGGGGCCGAATAGCCAGGTGTCTACTATCTTACTTGTAAATGTTCCAGGATATTCTAAATATGAGCAACACCGGCTAGCAGCCACTAGCTTAGCTTAGCATAAATTCTCAAAACAGCAGAAAGCAGCTGTAGCCTGGCTCTGTCAGATGGCAACAAAATCCACCAACCAGCGCCTCTAAAGCCCCAAAACCCAAAGTGTAAACATGACAATTTGGGGCTTTAAGGGCAGTTATGTGGACTGTTTATTGGCTGGGGAGCAGTGACTTCCTGGACTCCCTGCGGGTTGCCTGCCAGCTTTATGCTAAGCTAAGCAACCAGCTGCTGGCTCCAGCTACATTTTGAACTACAGCCACGAGAGTGCTATCAATCTTCTCATTTAACTCTCGGCAAGAAAAGAGAATGAGCATATTTGTGAAAATGAATACATGTATATTTAAAAAAAACATGAATTTGAATTTAATATTATTTTTTCTTTTGAAATGTTTCAACATTCCTTTAAAAAGTCGAAGATGTAATATACAGTATGTAAAACCACTTGTTGGTGGTGCAGTGTAATGTGATACTACAGCTTCATAATCCCTGCTCTGTTTTCTACTTAACACAGTATAATGCCATCCAAGAGCACAGCACGAGTTCCTCCAAATGGAAGTATTTTTTTGATATATATATATATATATATATATATATATATATATATATATATCAGCAGAGTATCAAATCCCTGAAAGCGATCTTAATTGTTCTCTGGCGATACTGAAATGTGTAAATGGGAGACCTTCCAGCTACCACAGAAAATAATCACTCTGTGGGAAGTCGGCTGAGGTACTTAAAAACCCATAAATTCAAAGAGAGCGAGTTAAATGGTTAGAAGCGATCGAGCGGTGTGCAGGGAAACGCTCCCACGGCCCGGGAGCTGAAATCCTATTGCACGTGGAGACGTTTCGTGGTTCAGAGCTAATGATCGCATGTCAGTAGCCGGAGGGACAGATGTTCAGATGCAGCCACAGTTGAAGGCCGTTAATCTGAGTGATAAATACCTTGGTCCAGCCTGTGGCAGAGGGTCATCTTGGCCAGCTCCACCTCGGGCCCCGGGTGATCCAGTACCTGCCTGCACCACTGGAGAGGGCTGAGGACACTCCCGCCCCACAGCTTGGCTTTGGGACTCACGTACAGCCTGCGACGACACAGCACAACCCACAATTCAGTCCTGACACCTTCACAGCAAAGCTCATATTGTTACTGTCTGGAGAGAACTGAGGGTAAATAAACTAGAGGCTGCTTTATTGTGCAGCCTAGAGATCTTCAGGGACGCATTTTACTGTGGCAATATTTCTCAGACAAAGGCAGAGCATGACTTTGTAAAGGTAAAACTTGTAGCTGAGTAAAGGGAGCGATTTTCATAAAATCCAAATGTCAACACACCGTAAAAGATCAACATTTCCACAAAAAGCAATTGGCATTTTACTGGCTACAACACAAACTGTGAAAGCAGCAGTGTATAATAAAAATTCAAATGGTGACAGCCTCATTGGGTGCAGTGATTTATAGAATATGAGTATGTGACTAGTGAGACACAGGATGATTGTATCTCTTCCCCCTGTGGGCTGTAGATGCTTGAAGCACAGAAACAATCAGTCAATGAACAGATTAGTCCATCAACACAGGATTAATCACAAACTATTTGGATAATAGATTCATCATTTCAATAATTTTTTTAACCAAAAATGGCAAATATTCTCTATAATTCCTTGTCATAAATGACAGTGAACTGATAATTGTGGGGTTTATGTTCGAAAAATGAATTGAAGATGCCACCTTGGCATTATACTACACATTTTTCACAACATCCTGTCTTTTTACACACCAAATGGTAAAATAATTAAATAAGAAAAAAAAGAACAAACTACTGAAGATAATTGCTCGTTGCAGCGCTACATACTTGTATCTTGGCCACACAACAACCAAAAGAAACGGAAACTGGATGTTATCAGCGACTTGCTATCAGTTGAAAGTATCTGACCGCTGAACAAAGAGCATAAAAACAAGCTGATTCTGAAATTACATTAAAATGACAAGACTATAAAACAAATCAATAAACAAAATATGTAGGTGTGTGTGACTTTGATACACTGGAATGACAGATTCCTAAAAAGTAGGGCTGGGTGATAATTCAACATGATAACGTATCGTCTTTCATATCGTGATGAAATCATACATCAAGATATCGTGATACACAACCACATCGTCTAAATGGAATATAACAAGCACACACTAACTTCAATTTCTAAGACAATCTGAATTGATGAGAATTAATCTGTATTTGTGTGCATGCATGTACACAAAGGCAATGTAGAGCTGGACATATGTATTGATATTTTCTCTATAATTTCACAACTGTTCTTTTCATTTTGCCCCAAAGTTCTTAATTAAGTGAAGCAATATTTAGTGCTTTTCAGCTGTATGAAAAAATAGACTACTTATTTATTGAAGTACCAGAAAAAAATATTTTTTTATATATTCATGTTATGTATCTATAACACTACATAGTTATATATACGATAACCATACAGTATATATATATATAGATATTTTTATATATAGATAGATAGTTTATATATTAATATATATCGTTATTGAGATATGAAATGACCTGTATTGTCTTGATATGTGTCATCTACAAACAAAGCAGAACTGACTTTCACTCGACAACTAGGCCACGGTGTTACACTGACCAGGGGTCAGTTAGTCACGCTAAATGGAGCCACTGGTGCTGCATTCAGCCGTGTGCTACATTTTCCCCATCATCTCATCGGATACATAAAGCCAGAGAGACGGTTCAGTAGTCAGTGTGTGTGAGCTGCCTCAGAGTCAGCGGATAACAGCGCTTCAAAGCGGTGCAGCCTCGGGCTGAACACTCTGCACAAAGCCGAGCTGTTTGATCACAAGCTGAAGCGGGTCATTGTTTCTAATTTCATCCCGGTGCTGTCTTACGCTGAGAAGACACCTATGCTGCACAGTGCACACACAGTGCATTCTGGGATGCCCACTTGCTTGTGTCAAACCTGTTTTTGTTCTTTACGTCCTGTAAAAAAAAAGTCCCTCTGTGAGCCGGAGTCTGCAAGTGTCTTCCTCCAGGAGAGGAATCAATAATGTAATCGATGAGAGGATACATGGCAGGGTAGCGTTACATATGACGTAAAAAATAAATGTGGCTAGTTGACAATCTTGTGGCCTGTGAGGCATCTATGGTGGTCAGAGAACAACAGGGATTTTTAACTGTAATTTCACATAATATGTGTGTGGCTGCGATGGAGTGGTGGATACAAACAGAGCGGTTACCAGCTATCGGGCTCTCCGAAAGGGAGCGCGGCGTCGAGGTCCAAAATATCAACCTCATCCATAACGGTCGTGGTGGCTCCGGGGGCGGCGCCGTCCTCCCCAGCGGCGGCGGCGGCGCCAGGAGACACCGAGCTCGGCTGAAAATACGCGAACGGCTCCTCCGTCGCTCCCCGGGCTCCGGGGGGACAGGGATGCGACTGTGTCGGGCTCGAAATGCCATATTTGCCGGGGACGTAGTCACTCGCACACGCTGTACCGCCGAGCAGACACGACAACGAGGTCTGGAGATGAGGAGGGCCGACGGAGCAATTGTTTACAGCGTTCGCTCTGGTCCGCAGTTGTTCGTTTTGCCTCTCCAATTTTCGGACCAATTCCTGCAGCTTCAGCACCTCCAGCTCCGCGTTGGTGATTTTGTTGTTGCCGTTGACGTCTGCCATCATCTGCGGGTTCAACACCTCTGCTTCCATTTGGTAAAGAGCACATTGAGAAGGGGCAGAAGAAGCACGGCCTGCCTGCAGAGGGTCCTATTCAATTCAGAGAGGGTGTCCAGATTCCCCCGTTTAAAGCTACTACTACACTCACACACGCTCACACACTCGTACACACACAACACAATGATGCTGCTGCCGCTGCTGGGATGATTGTACGGCCTCCATCTCATTGGTCAGCAGCTTGGAGTTCAACTCCCCTCACACCACTGCTAAGGAATTGTTTATTATGGACACACTAACACACCGAGTATTAAAGTGTACCTTGCATTTCTTTCTTAATTGTATGTGTTATATATGTCTTTTTACAGTTTTTGATAAAAATATATATATATATATATATATAATTTTTTTTAAATTAATAGCATGATTGAAGTCCAAACATGAAAATGACATCTAAATATTTTTTTAGACTGCCAGATATAATTTTGAGTAGCATGTCCCACCAACATTATCCCCCACCCCAGACACCAACGAGAAAGTCTCTACGTTTTGCATAGTCGGATTACATTTTTTTTTTAAATGTAATTTAATGGTTTAGTTGTATTTTCCACCTAAATGCACATCTAAATGCTCTTTCAAGGACATTTATATGGAGTAATATAACATTTTGTTTTCATTTACTCAACTAGCCAGAAGGTAGTTTACCTTATTGCATCTAAAACAGGGCAACATAACACCAAATGAACAGACACATTTTTAGATACAGATATATTGATTGTCTTTATTGCACACAGAAAAAGCCCCCGGCCCTAAATATTGCAATATCTCCTTTCATATCACACAATCCCCACAAAGTTAGCAGACCTGAGAGAATATCATAAGTTCTATCTCAAATTAGTGAAAAGGGTTAGATACTGAGACAGCAATATCATGACGTCAACAGCACAGTTACAGCTAGCTGCAATAGTATTTAAAATGTATATTCATAATGTAACTGTCATTTTTCAAAATACCCAGATAAAGCTTTGTCAGCTTGTAAAAACAGAAGTACAGGAGAACCTGCGTCACCCAAAACACACTGATCAACAGCAATCCATTTGATCTTAAATCACATGTGCTTCCTCTCCAGTGGGGGCTGGGGAGAAACTCAGCGGCACCATTTATCTGTGGAAAAAAAAAAGAATAATGATAACTGTTTAACATCTTTTTTCATCAAAGAAAATAAACAAATACATATAAACCTTTGACATTCCTCATTCAACAATTATTTTTTATTTCATTTTATTTTTACTTTTTTACCTCTGGTGACCTCAAAGCAGTTCTCACAGTGCACCATGCGTTTGTAGATCCAAATGCTGTCCCCAGCTTTCATATGACTCAGCCTGTTGTTACACACCTCGCACTGCCGAAACACAAACACACACTCACATGGGGAAAGAGGTGCACGCCGAGCAGTCGGCTGCACACATCCTGATAACATCGTTGTCAGAGTTGAATGTAAAGTACATTTTACTCAAGCGTCTCACTAGAGTATAGTGCAGCCGTGCAGATTTTTTACTCCCCTTCCCTACAAAATATTGCATACTTATCAGACAGCAATAGTTTCTTGTTGCTTTGCATATCAAATGCTCCGAACACCCACAAAGCTGTTTCCAATATGGCTGATTGGGCCTCTTGTCAGGTGTAAATTGGGTGAAATAATGCAGTTTTTTTTACCCCAAACTCTACGTACTAATTAAGAATGAACAGAAGATGTTTTGACATGTCACATTAGGAAAAGCCCAGCTGTAGAGATACAAAGTTATGATGGTAGAGAAACAATTTTTTTACTGTGTGATATTGCTACTTTTACTCAAATAAAGCATCTCAATGCTTCTTCTCCAAACACTGATTGTTGCAGACTTTCATGGAATGAGATACTAAAGTAATCTGCTCACCTTAAAGCAGGAAGCGTGGCAGTTGATTTTCATGTCATCCAGGACCATCTTGGCGTCACCAGTGAAGGGTTTACGGCAGTGGGTGCACAGGTCTTTCTCAAGCACCGCCCTGCGTGGGACAGAAAAATAACAACATCATTTATTATAAGTTCATTCTTGACCTTGGAAATAGGAGTTTGGTAGAAACAAGTCTTAGCTCATGCTCCACACTATATTGACCTAAAACTGTAGGAAAAAGCTTTTTCCCTCCAGCAGGTTTATATTTTTGGCTTTTAGGGAAATACCATGACAACTATTGGACGGATTGGGACAGAATGTGGCACAAACATTTATGTTCCCAGGCGAGCAATCCTAAAGACTTTGGGGATCCCCTCATGTTTACTGTAGCGCCACCATGAGGTTGACATTTGAGAACTGTCTCAACTGCTGTTGGATGGATTGTCATGAAGTGTGGATGAATTGCAATAACTCTGGTGGTCCTTTAACTTTTCACGTAGCACCACCATCATGTCAAAAAATTCCAATTGTGTGCGAAACTTTGGTCTATGACCAAATACTGACAGAACTAATTCCCATCAGCCTTGGTTATATTTGTGCTAATTAGCAAATGTTAGAGTGCAAAACTCCGGTAGTGAGCATTGTAAACATTTGACCTCTCAGCATGTTAGGACTGTTGTCATTGTGAGCATGTTGCACTTGTTCCTACCTCTCAGGAGCTGCATACACACTCTTCATGGAGGATGAGTAGATTTGATCAGTGTCATCCGACCTGCTGTGAGAGTTAAACAGATATCAGTTTCTACAAGAGTCTTGCTTTACTCTCATATAATATCAAACCAAGCAGTGTTTAATGTCATGGAATACCTGCTGCTCCTGTAGGGCTTTGAGGTGTAGGAGGTGGGACTGGTGATGCTGCTGTAGTCATAACTACACAAAGACAAAATGAACCACATATGACAGGATATTTTGAATATTTCTCACTTACTGCAAACTCAGAGAAATGGAAAGAAAGAAAATCATTATGCGAGAGCTTAGCTTGCTCTGCTTCCTACCTGGAGTCTGGTCTGGAGTAAGAGTAGCCTTTACGGTCGCTGCTGTAGTCGTCACTGCGTGTGCAAACACAGAACAGAGGCATGTTTTAATCCGGTTGTACAGACAAGAGGTGTGTTTTCGAGTGTGAGAGACGATAGTGAAATGATCACCTTGGGGTGGTGCTGATGGTGTAGGAGCTGGTGCGGGTGGAGGGAAGATCATCGGTGTACGAGCTGTAGCTGTGTGTCAAAGAGGCATGAATGAGATATGGTCGCAACTGAACAGTATTTCTATTTATGTATTTATTTGGTTCTTTGAATTATAAGTCAGACATTACATCATAATTCAGATATTACAATGTTATTGTTGTATCAATTGTCTTAATAAAACTAATAATAATTCTTAACTTAATACCTGCAAAACTAATGCAATTCCCATCAGCCTCAGCTGTACTTTGTGTTTTGTCTTCATTAGTAACTGTTAGCATGCTAGCACACAAAATTGTGATTGTGAACATGGTAAACATTTTGCCTGCTTAACATCATTATGTTAGCGTTGTTATTCTGAGCATGTTAGCATGCTGACCTGTGTTAATGTACAGCGTCACAGAGCCGCGAGTCTGGTTTTAGAATCCACGTCTTGTTTGTTGATGTGTAAAAACAAGTCAAAGATACAAATACCATGATCTCTGAAATAAATGCCAACTATATTTAGCGTTTGGATAAAAAAAAGATTTGTGAAGAATAATCATTTAATCATAGACCTCCTTAAATGTGCAGGGTGTATGATTTGGTGGCATCTAGCGGCGAGGTTGCAGATTGCATTTAACTGAAATTTCTCCCGTGTGCCAAGTGTGTCGGAGAACCATGGTGGCCGACGCAAAAAAAAAAAAATCTATTGCCAGGGTTTAGTTTGTCCATTCTGAGCCACTGTAGCAACATGGCGACTGGCTCCTTGAACAGGATCCGCTCCTTATGTCGATATAATCGGTTCATTCTAAGCTGACGAAAACACGATTCTTATTTCCAGGTGATTATTCACTCATGAAAACATACTTAAAAATATGATATTCCATCTCTGCCAATAGATCCCAAATATGCTACACACTGTACTTTTAAAATGTAAAAAATGTAAAAGAATATAAATATTGTTTTTTTTGTTTTTTTGACGATAAACCTCATTAAAAGTAGTCCATTTAAATGAACTTGGCTTTTTAAAAATGGGTTGGCCTTTTAAAAATATATATTTTTTAGTCACTGTAGGCTAAATTTAAAAAAAGCTCTTGATTAAATAGTATTTTATGTATCAGTCTATACAATCTGTAGGTAGTTAAAATAAAGATGACTAATATTTTGGGTTTGACAGCTACATTTAACAATCTAACCAACCCATTACAACCTAATCTAGAGTGGTTTGAAGATTATATTGAATATAGTTCTTCAGATGGCATCAACTCCATCTTATCCTACTTGAGCAGTCAGCATGTTTACCTGGTGGTTCTGGTGGAGGATGGCGATGACAGACTTGAGCTTTCAACTCTAAATGGCACAAAAGACAATGTCAGAAGAAATATATAACTATATTGTACGGAACCAATACGCAGTCTCGGCTGTTCAAATCCAGCACTCACCCTCTGCTGCTCTCCAATGTGATGATCTCTCTCTTTGTGGTGCTGCTGCTGCTGAGAAAATGACGATGTGATCATTTTAAATGACAGGATAATTAAATGGTTGTGTGGTTTGAGAAGAATTATTCACTGAGACATCTCACCTGATAGAAGGAGATCGGTCAGATACAGATGTAATGGATCGAGGCAGGAGGGTGCCATACAGGTCATCCTCAGCCCTGCAATGCAACAATATGATAAATATACGGCATAAGTGCATTAAGTATATTTATTAATATATATATATATACATATATATATATATATATACACACACTGTATATATATATTGATGAAAATTTATCTTACATAGAGGAAGTCCTTGTTTTGGTTGTAGTTTTAGTGCCATTTCTGGAAAAAAACAACAAGATGAGATATTTTCATCTGACTGATTTAATGTCAGGGTCACTGTGTGAAGATATTCCTCATCACAGAATATTATTACTGATTTACTGTCGTTATTTTATATATATATATATATATAAAGTATCACCTGTCTGGGGACGAGTAATCCTCCTTGCCAGATGAAGGGATGAGTGATGTGAAGAGGTTGTCCTCCGCACTGCACAGAAATACAGGTTACATGCAAGCGATGTATAGATTAAAGTGTATTGAGAAATTGAGAAAGGGTGCTTTTTTTTTTTTTGCTTGTGAATTCAACTTTTCTTTTCTTTGAGGAATATCTTGTAATCTGTTCTTTCAAAAGTTATATAGTCTCACTTGCTAAATACAAAAAAATAAACAAATATTGGTCAAATAATATTCATAATATAATATAATATAAAATAATAAATATAAAAAATAGTCATTAGTATATCATTACCATTACAGCCATAAAGCCAGTCAGTGGCCTTCAGCCCCAAGCCTATTGTTATGATTTCATTTGTGAAGAAAAGGCTCAATCATTTTCCTTAATCAGCTGGGCACTGTAGTTTTTAGCAAACATTACTCAAACAGGAGTAAAGGGCTCATTTGTTGTGGACTATTTTCAGTGGCGGACTAATACACATTTGGTGCTCTGCTGAATGTTTACAGCAGCAGGGAGGTGTTTGTGGGATTGACTCAAAATACACTACAACGCCCATGTTCTTCGTAATGATAAGGCTCACTGATGTGTTTTTTCTTGTTTTCGGACAACAGTTCTCACAAAGGAGTGAGATATGTGGTGGGATATAGGCCTTGGCTCCACAGGCAATACTAGTTAGTACCATCAGTTAATTGTCTGTGATGGGATATGCTGGCACACACAGCCTCCCCTGCATTGTACCCAGTATGGGAAGAAACTCACTCAGTGCTGCTTTTCACCATCACCTTCTCAGTCTCGAAGACAGTTGTTTTGCTGTAAAGAAGAAAATATACCTCATTACAGAATATCATCAACGATCGTGCGGCGTCATGATCGATATAATTAATTTCAAAGGCTTTACTGAATGAAAATATCACCTGTCTGTGGGTGAGGAATCACCCTTGATAGCCGAGGGGATGAGAGTGTCGTAAAGTTTGTTCTCAGCGCTGCTCAGAAATACGGGTTAGATTGTAAGTGATGTATAGATTTAAATTGTACTGTTATTCAATACCAGGTGTTTTAATAATGTCAGATATCTGCCCATGTCTCACTTTTTACTGCTGGAAACAGAAGTCTCAGTCTCTTTGGTGGTTCTGGTCGGTGAGTAGCTTGAGTACAGTGGCCTGTGTGAAAAGACATTCAAATCAGTTTATTAGTACATTTACTCAAGTAATGTAGTAAGTACAATTGGAGATGGATTAAGATTTAACATTTAAATTGTTGGACTGGTTTATAAAACACAATGATTTGTTAAATATTAAACCAGTGTGTCACAGAATTTTGACTGTCAGAGGCCCAAACAGGTAAATGTATCATATATGTATATATAATACTTGTACTGGTACTTTTACTGAAGTGAAGGTTCTGAGAACTTCTTCCACCATATAGCAGTATATATATTCTTTACCCTTTGCTTGAAGACTTGACACGCTCAGTGAACGTCGTGGTGGGACTTTTAATCACAGTGGAGCTGCAAGAAAACACAGCCGTCATTAACACCGACACAGACTCAACGTGCGATAAGATGATCCACATTAACCGTGACGTTCTCTACCTAACACTCTTGGAGGTGGTGATGGTGGTCTCACTGGTGCCGTCCCTGGACACCGAAGTGGTTCTGGTGCTGAAGGAAGAGCAATACAAAATAAATTCACAGAATGCTCAGGAGTTGTATTTTTCCTTGTCGGTTGAATTGGAACTGTTAGTCACGTACCTTTTCTTAGGTTCCTCTGTGACAGTCGTCTTGGACGTGGTGGTTGTGCTGTGACACGATAAATGCAAAAATCACACATTATATTTATGCTTCTCTGTTGATTTCTTGCTTTGTGTGTGTGTAAAAGACTGGAGCTTTACACACCTGCTGGGATAATCTGACTTCAGGGTTGAGTATGTGCTGCAACAAAGAGGCAGGTTATTCAGAGGATTTGGTATAAAGAAAAAGAAGAAGCTGTATTGTACAATTAGTTGTGTTATTAAGAAAATGTACCTCTTGGTGTAGGAAGATGTAGTCGGGCTGGAAGGGAGGGTGCTGCTGTTAGAGGAGAAGCTTTATTTAGCCACAGTTACTGCTTAAAGTTATTGAAAGTGCCTTTGACTTGGAGGAGGGCTGGAGTGCCAACAAATTATTTGTGTGTCTGCAGAGTAAAGGAACTACAATAAATAATGTACCAACCCGCTCCTCAGCTCATCCTGACTTCCGCTGAATCTGCAATGACAGAAATTTAAAATTAAATGTTCTGCTTTCTAAAAATAACTGCTAACATGATGTTTATTTGAAAAACAAACATACATTTCTGCATCAATATAAAAAGAGAACTGAACGTTTATTAAAATCATACTTCTTGGAGAGAGATTGCACAGATGTTGACCTGCTTGTAGTTGTGGTGGTTTTTACTTCTTCACCGTCTGGACTGTGAGCAAAAAACAAAAAAATGAAGGATTAACAACTCAGTCGCCACATTTAGTTATTGGAGTAATAACAAAATGATGTTCTAGAACTTTAGGACTTAAAATGTTTATCTTACCCAACAATAGTTTCACTGCGCTGGCCCAGAATACTTTTGCCAAAGTTTGGGTCTCGGCTGAAGTTGGAGAAAAGGATCAAATTAATTCACTCATAGAGATGACTCAGCACTCTGGCTTACCAAAAGGAATGCAGTAGGAGGCTTTATTTATTTTTTTACACACACCCAACAGTTCTGACACATCCTACGTGTGTGTTTTCCAGTATAGAACATTGTATCTGATTATGTTTACGTGACTCACTCGACGTCTTCGTCCTCATCGTCCGCTTTTTTGATCCAGCTGCCGTCCTTTAGGAGAGAGCTGACCTTGCCTGCAAATACGAGACAAGAGAATGTTGAGCCTCAAGAATAAGTCGCTATCTGTTTTTTAATCACTTTTCAGCTATTTTACTCGTTTTGTGTTGTTTTAAAAATAACATTTTAATTTCTCCTGTGTTAGTCTCGACTTGTTTTCCTGTTTACATTTGTACTGCCTTGTTATCAGCGAATCAGTCATGTGTAATTATGCACTTTGACACCTAAGGTGCTATAAAAGTGTCATTGATGAACTGATATGACTCCCCACCACTGTTGCACACATTTAAAGATTAAAATATTTTATTTGTCACATGCTTAAACAGTGTGTGCAGTGAAATGTGGGGTGGCATACTCTTAGAAAGACTAATAAATAATAATGGTTAAGAAAAAAATATAAAAAAATATTTGGAGCTTAAAATAATATAAAAATGATAAAATCTCAAAGATTAAAAAAAATCTATAAATTATATAAGTATTGTAAAATTCTATGTGCGTCATATGACAAGTGTAACCTTTGAATATTGACAAAACATGGAATTTCACATTAATTTTGGGGGGTATTTTATTATTTGATATATTTCTATACTTACCAGTCGAATACCTGCTCATTTTGTAACTTCACCTGCAAGTGTAAGAGAACAAGGAGGGACTTCGTCACATAATGAAACCACACATCACATGTAGCCACCAGGTGGTACTGTGGGCTGACACCTTTCATATATGGCGCATGACGTCTCACCTGAGATCACTACACCAGGTTAGGGAACAATGCTGTTCTGTATGTATGTGAACATGTCATGCTGGATTTGTCCCTGTGTGTGGCGCAAGTATCAGCTAAAGTTCTGCTCAACCCCAGACTCCCTGATCAAGCCCTTAAACTGGTTTGTCTTGATCTGTACCCACATGAAGACACGCCTTCTCCAAACACACAATTGTCAGCAAAACAGAGGGGCGTACCGGTGACATTAGTTATGAATGACAAAGATTGTGCCCTTTTGACTACATGCACACTCCGGCATGTACACTTCTATGGAGCCCTGAGGCAAATATGTACAGCTGTGAGGGAAGTTATAACTGTAAATGCATTGTGTCTCTAATTATTAGTCACATAATCTACTGTGTGATGACTGCTACTAGCGCATATGATATTTATGGTGTGTGTGACATTGTTCGATAGGTCCATGTAAGGTATGCCGTGTGGTAAAGAGCTTAAACCGAGCTTGTCCTGGAGTTTTCTGAACCGTCGAGATTATTAAACTCTAGAAAAATCAAATCGTCTGAGCAGAATCTCTTATCTCAGTGTCTACACTTTAGTGAGCCTTGTAAAAGTGGAAGATTTACAGCTTGCGCTCTTGAAGATTACACAGTAATAATCCATGATGTACTGTCCGGTAACACAATGCTTCTGAAATCATGACTAAATCAGTGTGGCTCATGTTAAGCAGTAAGTGTTAACAGCAATCTTAGACATGAAATCAAGTATGTGTGTTTGGTGTATCCCCAATATCAGCACGACATGCATTTCATTCCTCAAAGTAAAGTCACTCAAAAAGTAACTAAAAGTACATCATTAGACAATTGACATAATGTTTCTATTTATCCAGGACTGTTGCATTTTTGTCTCAAACAGCTCTGTATCACACTTGAAGTCATTTCTAAGCACTTAAAACTAATCTGAAATGTCAGTATACGAACATATTTGTGTAAAGTGACAAAGTATTTGGAAAGAGGGTACCTACCTTCTCTGTGACTCGATGGATGGAGGAATTAAAACTCTCACAACAGCTCAGCTCTTCAACACCTGCCTGGTGCTCAGATTTGCAGTGCAATCACACCCTGTTCACTCCTTCTGCTTTTAACCCGAAGGGAGGAGATTCCGAGGCCACCTATGGGTGTGGCTTAAGACAACAATCAAAGAATTCTCTCTCCAGCTCTCATTCTACATTTTTCTCTTTCCGTCACCACCGACTCAGCCTTCATAATTGTTCCACTGTCTGTTCAGGTTTGAAAAAGGAATTGGGTGGAGTGCTGAAGGACCTGCATTACAACTTAGGTGACAAGGAAGCAGAACTGCAATGTGGGTGTGGGAGCTTGTGCTTCTTTGACCTTCTAGCTTTGAAATGAATTGAATTTGATTGAATGGAGACACCGTTTAATAGTAGTCTCCTGTTTGAAAGATTGTATATTTTGATATGCACTGTGACATAATGTCAGTAGAACTCTCATTATATAGCCAGTAGGTCTATATAATGACCTTTGGTCTACATATACAGTATGACTGACCTGCCTTGAGAATAAAAGAAGGCCTCCTCCGAATGTCTTACCCTGCTATAGGACTGCGTATTAATATATCTTTTTAATACAATACCTGGCTGCCAGTGGACTTTGCTCTTTACACATGTATGCTGATAAAAGTACTGGAAGAAAAGGTGGTTTCAACTTGGTTTTCAAGCACAGGTAAATAGATAAAACATCACTCGCTAATAGGTCTGATAAATTAACTACAAACACCTTCGCGGTCCGGTCACAAAGGTAACAGGGTGCGATACTGATACCTGAGCAAGCCTCACCACAGTCACTCAAAGTTCGACTGAAACTTCTACCAAATGGCATCTAACATCATGTATAATTCCATCGATTGAGACCGAGCCACCTGAGGAGCCCTCTAAAGGGGGACTACCTGAGTTAATTTCTTCATGACAGCTATGGGATATTTACCTGATGCACAGCAGTGGATAATCATCAGGAGTACTCATAAAATGTGTAAGCGTCAATCAGACTTGAATTATAAATGCCATACTGTCTGTGACTGTGAGCTTCATTGTGGGGCGTGCCGTGTTTTGAACGATCAAAGGTATGAACTGTGCATAGCATGCAGGGGTGTGACGGCGTGATACTGAGGTCAACCCGTCCTAGTCATGACGACAGCATGAGAGGAATGCAGACTATCTGCACCGATCGAGCTGCTGCGCCAAATGTTTAAAAGAAAGACGGATCTATGTGGACAAGCCCAACTGAATAGCACATTAAAAAGCATTCACAATAAAGTCAACCGTGTTCACTTCAGTCTAACTGAGCTGGCAACACACTCAGCTGATTTAAGACATAGATATTAACTTTAAGTAGCAACTTAACCACAATCAAACTACAAAGTTGTATTTATGGTATCATTATCATTAAGAAACAGCTGGAAAGCCCTAGAATGAATACCTGCACTCAACAATAATCTGCCCTCTTTATGGCTGCATAAATGAAAGTGGAGAGCGGCTGACACTGGGTGGCGCTAGAGCTACAATGATGGAAATGGCAATGTTGGTTGTGCAACTCTAAAATAGATGAATCTCACAAGCTGTCCAAGGTAATAGACATCCTGATCATTTTACAGTCAGTTAGTCAAAGCAGCAGAAATGAGTGCAACCTGATCTGTTACAGGGAATATGAGAAGGTCAAGATGTAACATTAAAGAAAACACATTTCCAAATAGACACAATAATTCTGCCCTTACTCATGAACATCGTCACTCGCATGCAGTAAGTGGTGTTGCGTCAGGACGACTGACGACACTGGCACACTTTCATATCATTCCAACAACCCATCTAGATCTTCTTATGTATCCCGCCTCATTTCCCTGATGTGTGTATATACCAACTGGGTTACATCTCCACCGGTTCATCTCATTCGCGTGACACTTCTGCCTGATCTATAGCATCATCTCGGCCTAGATACCCCTCCCCTCCTCCCTCCATTTGTCCTAACAGGACAGAGCCAAGATAACCGGGCAGCCCTTTGAATGTGGCTTGACAATCAAACACCAAATCTTTTTTTATAACCTTCTACCTTAAGACAAGTAAGGAGGGCCAACAAATGTCACACGCTGCTTTTCACTTCCAATATTTCAAAGAGAAATCCTAATATGACAATCCCTAAGTTTCATAACAGTACAGAAGAGTCAGTTGTCATCACTGATACATGCTGGCACTCTGATACTGCGCATGATAATCTCCCAACGCTTCCTGGGTTGCTATGAGGGGGAGACAGTAGACCAACCCCTCGCATGTCATTGGGCCGCTGCGCTGCCTGGCAGCCAATAAAGCAGCACCAGGGCCTGTGTAAATCTCTTTCTCTATTTTCCTCTACCTCTCTCTCTCGCTCTCTCTCAATAGTTATGCATGCACATCCACATGTACATCTCTACCACCATAAAAAAAATACGACATTAAATTGAACTTTGACATTAGGGAGATTCAGTAAAGCATTTTGGAAATACACTTCCCAGATACATGCTTAAATCAGTCAAGTCAGTGTTATTTACATAGCCAAATAACACAAATTGTCTTGAAGGGGTTTTATAATCTGTGCAGCAAACAACACCATTTTTCCTTGCACTATCGATTCAGATAATATAAAATCTCCTCCAAAAGCCATCTGAAGAAAAGAATTTGAACAAACATCAGAAAGAGCGACAGAGGTGGCATCCCTCTCCGAGGATGGACAGACGTGCAACTGATGTCTGTGTGGCCTACAGACTAGAGCAACATAATACTATTACAGCATCAGGATGACATAACTATAGATTATAGACTGTACACATGAAGTAAATGGATCACACATGTATTTATCCAGATATATTTTGTTCATTTCTGTGACATGTGCACTGCCTGCACCTGTTTTCTGTGTTTACCTTTGCATTGCAGTGTGTTCCGGCCTTTACTGCCATACTGACTGACGTTACCCCACACAGTGTCTCCCAGTTTCCCCCTTTGCAGCATTCCTGCTCCAACTCCTCCTGTCAGAAGGTAAAAAACACAAGTATTACTACTATCACTAGGCCTATAATGTGCATGTTGCACTCCTGAGGCACTTCCGTATTCCCATGTAATTTTTAGGCATAGATAAAACACATATTGCATCTGCTATCTCACCAACAGTGAGCCACATCATGCAGCCTATATTCATAAAAAGGTGCACATTTTGCTGTACGTAGATAGAGGCCTCAGCTGGGGCCAGCTCAGTGAAGAGGACCACTGTACCACTAAGATTCAATAAAAGACGGCTGCAGCCCTTGTGCAAAGTTGTTTAAGAAGGCTTGTCTGAGATCAAATGGCAACATTTTACAGTTCCACAGTGTTCACTGGAGGGGGAAGTACTGTAAGCTTATATTCATTAAGGAACAGTATGACTGCATATTATAATAGCACAGAGGAACTTACGAGCTAATAAGTCAAAGCAGTCTAAACAAAATGCAACACTGTTTTCAAAGGTCAAACCGGAGCGTCAGTGCTTTTTTTTTGGCGGACAACGTAACATTTAATCGGTTTTAAAAGTATCTGTGTGCCGATTTTAAGATCAAACTGGGAGGGCCCTTGGATGGACCTCTGCAAATTAAATGTCCACTTTCCAACCGTGCATACTGTGCAATACAGCTCGTATTGTTTCTATATTCTCGCTATATGTTCACTTCCACGGTTGTCGTGGTTTTGCGTTTTGAATAAAGAACTGCAGATTAGAATATGTATGTACAGGGAGGTTTATTGATTAAATAAATCGGTGATAGCATCGCCCGGCTTTAGTCGCATGAAAATATCCCGGCATGCTAGCGACGCAACACTCAGCCAGGGAGGGGAGGGATGATGGAGCTAAGATGGCAGCCCAACTGAGGGTGCTGCCTCTCTGGGGTCAAGAACACACTATAGGAACTAATAAAACCCGATCACGACAAGGCGACTGATGGAAATTAATGGTTCCGTTTCTGCAATTTGTCAAGAAAAATGCTATGGCTTGAGAAGATATATTTACGGGAGACGAGCACCGTGGTGACGCCGTGGCCGTGATCGGAAGACCGAACGTTGTAGTTGCACCACCAGATCGGCTACAATTTGCTCTTATAATAACTGGGGACCGTGGATGCTAATTGTGGTATATCTGCAACTTGGAGCGGACAAATAATGTGACGCGTGGAGGATTTAATGACAATTGGATTGCATCGGATGGCTTGATATTATCTATCTGTGGTATCTTTTGTGTGATATATGCATTGTTCTTCAAAACGATGATGTGTGCTGCTGCGGCAGCGGCCGCCGGTGGAGGGATTCTACCTTCCTCATCGCCGTCGATGGGGTTGGGTGTCAGGGTCATTTCTGGAGCAGGAGCCGAGCTCTCCACCATCGGTTCGGGAATGGGTTCTTGTCCGACACCCGGAGCCCAGTCGGATTGTCGGACTCGGTACCAGCTTTTACTCTCAGGGCGAGCTCTGGCCGAAAGATACAGGCGGATTTATACCACCGCTATCAATGATAAAGAGCAAGGGATAAATCAAGGGAGGTGAGTGGCTAACGTGAAGAAATATAGATATCGCAGAGGCTGGTCTGTCATTTGTGGGGCTAACTGGGCTAACGTAAGCTAACATTAACCCTTGCTTAGCGGCACGTCAGTTAACTACAGCTACACCTAAATAGATAGTTATGCATGGTTCTTGAGCTTGTTGGACTTTTGTCACATAAATGACTGTTTTACCTACAATGAATATACCAGGGGCTACATAATTTAGGTGCATCCTCTATCAGCTTGCTAAGTAGCATTTTGCCAATTGACTTCCTTAGCTTATCGGAGCTAAGCCAACGTTAGTTCACCCTTGCTCGAGTGGTTTGCACCCTTGGTGCTTTTGGACATTGTGTATCGCTAAACATAAACATATTGTCACTGAAATATGAAAAGTCAATACCAACTTCGGCCATTACGACACGAAGAAATGCTCTATCGGCAATATCCAGAACAAGCTGGTAGGCTAACTGTCAAAACAGCAATTTTGTTTTGAGCAAAAGCCAGCTAACGTAAACAAATGTACTTGCTAGTTAATAGCCTACTTTAATTTGTTGCTTAACATCTTTAAATAGTAACTGCTTGCGTTGTCCACCATATTTTACGTTACTTTATAATTTAATATAATTTGATGTAAGTGAGCTGTGTGTGTATCTAGGCCCAACGGCGTCACTGTTTCGATTGCTAGCTAACGTTTACTGACGTTGAGGAGCATCAGCCCTCATCTAAACGTAAACCTGGAGCTGACAATGACCAGATATAACGTTACAATCAAACTATTAATACACACACCACGTTATTATTACAAACATTTGACACAAAATGGCCATAAAACGTTCGACATTGTAGCCCAATGGGTGAGGATGTGTTGGGAGGTGGATGAACTCATTTGCTTTTCTACCATAAGCGGGTAATACAGTTACGTCATCCTGTCAGTCAGTCAGGTTGTAGACTAGAAGAGCTTGATCAATGCAGCATCCTCCCTCACAAACCCAATTGTTGTTCTCAACCCCTCCCCATGTACACTTGCTTTAAGCTTGGGTCAATACACTGCTCAAGGGTCTAACATTATACTGTTTTCATAACCAGCTCCTGATTTATAGGTCTGTACAAGTGAGCAAAAAACAAATAATAATCAGGGGTTCAAGCTATTCATGATGTTATTTTGAACAACTCTCTTATATGTTACCAGTGTTTCTTCATTTATCTGATAGTGAAAGATGTTGCGTAGACAAGGTGCAGATTACACTCGGAGAGATATATATGCAAGCTTTAGGGAACTGCTTTGGAATCCTTCTGAAAGCAAGGGTCAGATAGTCGTTTCTCTCTCATAGATTTGTTGATATTTAGCTACTATTGTCAACATCAGATGGACATTTTTGTCAGCCTTCTTTGGTATATCGTTTGTTTGGTATTTTCAATGAGTAATAGTAACCCAGGCTGTCACTGTATGCTCAAATGGCTGAATGATCTGAAGCTACCTTGACAAGCTATTAGAAATCAATATTCAGTTTCACTCTTGAGTAATTGAATTAAGCTTTACATTTGTTTTTTTAAACTCCAGCCCTGACAGTAGACCTACAGTACTGTTACAGATCAATAGGGCAACAAAAAACCATTGAATCTTGTTCAGTGAGAAGTGCACAGAATGACTATATCAATACTTAAAGAAAAGCCTTTTTACCATGAATTGCTTTTCTCTATTTAGTAGAGTGTAGTAATAATGATTACTAATTCATGCTCTGCCTTTCCTTTTTCAGTATTCTTTCTATTTTTGGTCCCTAGCACTTGTCATTGTCAGCCTGATTTGTAAGTGAAATTAATCATAAGAAGCCAATGTAAAACACAGATGTTTGAGAGAGTTTGAAAACACCAAAAATGGAGTTTCTGCAGAAACAAACATCTGCTTGCTTCTGGTGTTTTTCAAGAGGAGTAACACTGAATCGAATCTAATGACACCTGCTACACAGTCTGATGGTGACGGTGGGGGGGGATACTGCACTTCGAATGGCACAAACTTTGCCAGCTGCATAAGCTGTAGACTGAAAGTGAAAGTGAGATTATCAGTAAAGACACAATGGAGATTTTACCAGCTATTAGAAACAAGTGAAAGTAATGACTTCTTTTCTGGCTTAAAGAATGTGTTAACAACAAGGAGCTTTACCATCCGTTCTCCTCACATCATCATATTTGCATTAAAGCTTGTGATAAGATATAAAAAAACGCGATGCTATGTGTTTGAGTGTCGCCATTGCCTAGGCACACAGTATATTGTGCAATACTGAGGATCGCTTTATACTTTCAGGGGAAAGAAGGCGTTGAGTAAGAAGAAACTGAAAAGGCGACAGAAAGTCAAGTCAAAAGTCAAATCAAGAACAAAGGTAAGATATGCACAATTGTCTAACTAATTGTTATACAATATTACACTTGTTCTTCTGTGTAATGTGACTATCGCTGTATTTATATTTGTATATTAATAATGCATATGTATGTTCAGCAATATGTTTAGAATGGCTGTTTTTAAACAATTACAAAATAACCCAAATGATATACGCCCCTCGAAGAAAACACAATTCCATCGTTGCAGTGTTAAATCACAAACGGGTGCAATATTTTACTGGGCCATAGTCATGCCTAACATTCTCAGGACTACTTGGAGCATTTTAATTAAGTATCTACATGTAGTATTTTGCATTTTCTCTTTATATTGATAGAAATAACACGACTGACAGTTTTAATTTGCAACCGTCGCAGCCTCAGGTATGCAGGTATACATCCTCACAGCTGGTTTGACTCTGTACTGAATCAAATGAACAGGTTGAGGATGGAGATAAAGATTCGGTTAGAAGGTGTTCGGCAGAAACATTGGTGTCATCAGCGGCTGGTCAGGTGCCAGGAAGCCCATCCACACATGGAGACGGAGAGGTGGATAGGCAGAGTGAGACACATGGGAGTGGCCCCGGCTTGTGCATGATGGCCTGTTGCCGAGCGACCTAATGTGTTTCCCATCTCCACGGCAACAGTTGCCTGCCTCCATCTCCTTCGTCCAAAGAGGAAATCTAGTCTGTATCAGTGGTTGTGGCTAAATAAAATATATAGATAGATATCTATCTATCTATCTATCTATCTATCTATCTACCACATAAAAACACAAGTAAGGATCCTAAAAAACAAAATGGCTAAAAGTGAAAAACATTAAATAAAGATACAGCAGACTTAAAACAAACAGCAAACTGCATCAACCAAATAATTGTCATTCATTGCCAGGACAAGTAGCCATGCTCAAGTGATCCTTAATCCTGTTTTCAAATTACCAGTTGATCATCAAATTTCATTACTATATATGTATATTTTAATTATTATATTGACTCATTTCCTTGCTATTCTTCTCTGAGAAAGAAAGAGTAGCCTGCTCTGTGGTTGGGCTGTGATATTGTTAGCCAGTGTTTGGATTTAATTTCCTTACAGCCACTTGGCAGGCAAAGGCAACAGAGATTAATGTGATCGTAGCAGAGATGGACTGAGGCTCAAGCGCTGTGTCATCGTTCACCTCAAAACTATTCCAGGCAGCAAATTCAACGTGGAGTGGGCTAGTTCACTTCAGGTCGACTTGTTCAGTGAGTGGATGTCCTGGAGGATCTTCTATGGAGACAGAGAACGGACAACACTGGCAGGCAGGCAGGCATAAAGACTTGGGCAGTTCCACAGGCAGTCGTGCTGTGTTTGTATGTGTTGTTGTGCTCACTCTCTCTCTGTCGCTCCTCTCACACCGGCATCCTCAGACAAGAGTGTGGTTTGAAGGAGCCTCTTCTCTCCCCCTCTGTCTGCTTCTGTGCTCATAAACATGGGGAAGTGGAGTCTGAACAAAACGCGGAGCGTAAACGCTCATCATCCTAATGAAGAGGCTGATGTAACGTCTTGTGTACGAGAAGATGTGATCTTTCAAAAACTGCAATTATGGTAACTACTTAATTGTACAAAATTATATGTGCAATAGGACAGCGTCAGAAAACTATGTAGTATATATATATAACCAAAATAGCATAATCTATCAAATCTACCTGGCAGCAGTGGTGCACTTGTGCTATTAGATTATTATTTATTTTTTAAAATCTGAGCTGTAAGTGTTGCCGACTTTGCGACTTTCCTGCTAGAGTTAGCTACTTTTGAGCTCGTGTTGCTGGCTGCTTTCATTGGGCTACTTTTTAACTGTTGGATCATTTTTAACATCCAAGAGTACCTCGCTGGTTTCTCAAGATTACCAACCCTAGCTTTAATACATGAGTCGTTCATGCTGTTGTCGTCCCAGCATGAAACCATGATTCCGGGCCTCTCTTTGAATTCTGGGAACAACCCCCCCCCCCCCCCCCTACACCCACTTAGGGCTGGGCAATAATTCAATATGATCATGTAACGTCTTTCAATTTAATCATATTGTGATAAAATCATATACCAAGATATCGTGATGAACACCAAGGTCATCTAAACTGATAATAACTAGAACCTACTAACTCGCATTTCTCAGAAAATCTGATTATTTTGCTCTGGAGTTCTTAATTACATGAGAAAATTCTTTTCATTTGTCAAGTATTTAATTCCCACAGCAGTATACAAAATCATGTGGTTATTTCATATGGACTATTCATTTACTGAATGACCAGAAAACATGCTAAAAAGTAATTGAATTGAACGAAAACACACCCCTACAAATGACATACATATGCAACTGCTAATGCAGAATAGCTGCATATGAACACAATGTGTTTCAGAGGCTGAATTGAACATAATGTACTAGTAAGAGCCATATATGGTGTTGGAAATACCCAGAAATACAAATGTTATTCTCTGTGTATGCATTGGGGGGCGCTGTATTATATCTTGGCTGCAGGTATATAGCTACTGAAATCACTGCTGTTGTCAGGTGTTCGACCTGGGAAGCGCAAAAGGTTTTGACCGCTTTTGTGGTGACAGTTTTGTTGTCTTTTTGCAAATAGTGTGCTTGATTGTCGGTGGAAACAAATGAACTGGTTTTATCAGCAAATAATCTGACTCTCATTCTACAAAACTGGTCTGTGGATGTTAACGCAGCGCACATCAATGGTAACGGACGGTACCTCATGCTTCCAACCAGCGTCAACGGGGTCACTCCAGAGGGAAAGACGCCTCAGTAGCTTACAGGACTAGACTCCTTTAACAGTACTCATAACCCATGGTCCAAGTATACACGGGTACAATGAAAGGGATGTTTCAGAGAACAGTGGTGTTGTGTGGAAGTGGTAGATAGAGGGCAAAATAAATGGGCCAATTCAGAATTGATCAAAAAAAGATGGCATAACTGCAAAAATAAAGATTGATTAATGACTTGATGATTCTCCTGTTGATAAATGCACATTTCCCATCTGATATGGTGGTGCAAAGTAACAATGGTGAGCTTGAGCCGCTGCTTTGGAAGACACCACTTTTCTTCATCTTTTTCCGCAGTTGTCTGTCTAAGTGCAGCCGGGGACTCTATACCAGCCTTCTCCAAAGCTTTTAGATGGCCATTAAATCATCAGCGCAGACAGAAACACAAAAGAATCCATCAGATGACCGGCGTGTTTGGGTTTATGGGTTGGTGCCGTCACAAAGTGAGAACAAACCACAAAACATCAGCAGGTCGTCGGGCTTAGCATAGCTGCGTATGTCTTTGCCGGTGTGCATCATGAAATCACTTAAAGGAGCCTCTTTCAGTGAAACGTTTCTGATGGTTTGTTCAGTTTTCTCGTGTAAACCTGTCAAATGACACTTGACAGCTTCATGCTCTGTTTGCATGAAGATGTGACCTATCAGATGTAGTGTAACATATCTGAAATAGCTCACTCTAATCATAAACAGCAACCGCAAACTAACTGGAGGCCTACAGCTGAAAACAAGTGGGTGTATAGCAGACAGAGAGGGTCCATTGAGTGACACTGTCGAGTTGCATTGTGGGAATAATTTACTGATGCAGGTCCTTGAGAATCTACAAATTTTACTAGACTGAACGGACCAGAATCTGATAATTAAGATTCGCTTCTGTGTTTGTGTGGCTCAGAGAAATTGTTTTACAGCCGCTCCTTTTGGTGTGTGTGTGTGTGTCTGTGTGTGTGTGTGTGTGAGAGAGAGAGAGAGAGACTGCGCGCGCACACACACACGGTCAGTCAGTCAGAGGATCCTGCAATACAGATAGTGACCATGACGTCAAATTGACCTCACAGCCCAGACAGTGCTGTTCCTGGAGGATTGATCTATACTGTACAACACGCATACAGATGTGCACTATTTACAAGCATTTCCCACAGGTCATCCGCACAATTATTAAAATGACAGCAGCTATTACTTCACTTTTATCTGACCGTATCATTTTAGGTATATTCACATCATTTATTGCTGTATTTACAAATATAATATAAATTAATTAAACATATGATAGCACCAGGAGACCACCAACAGTTAGATTTCACTGTTTAACCTTTTATTTGTGGCCATAGTGGGCTCTGTGTTTCAGATTAGTGTTTTGTTTACTTGTGGATTGCAGATGCTGCCTTTACCTTTAAGATTTCACCACTTTATCAATACTGCTTCCTTTTAATACAAAGACTCTTAAATAAATCTATACTAAAATACGATAGTATCATATTTGATCTCATGAATATCAGGTCAAATAAAAAGGAACTATCAACTGAGGTCTTTTGTTTTAACTGCTTTCAAGCAATGGAGGCAACCAAAATATTTCATTCATAAAGTTGTTAGACTTGGTGGGGAGCCTCTTTGTTCTTATGGGCCCAAAACGCTGCGCTTCCTATATCAAACGCTCGGCTATATCATGCAGTACTTTGGTCTCTACTCCACCCTTTTGTTTTGCCGTCATGTCCTAAGAAACCCTTCTTCTCTTTCTTGCTTCATGGGTTTGGGTTTTATGGGTTTTAGCATCTTTAGGTTTTATATCGTTTGAAGTTCTCTCTCAAGGCAAAGTGAATGCTGCCCGGTCACGAATACTTCTCTAGCAGCAAGACAGGAGAGCAGTGGACAGTACCGTCCTCCCCGCCGGTCTGAGCCCAGAATGAATGACCTTTTTCCCCAAATAGATGACATCACCCTCTGTGATTGGGATGCCAGAAGTGCAACACTGCAAGAGAGGCCCGATCGATCAATAGGATTCTCTAGAGAGGTTGCCTCAGGACTGTAGCTAACAGTGCTTTGGTGGGATAGAGAAAGCTCGTCGATGGGTTGAGAGTAGCTTCTCTGATCACGGCTGTTTGGATGTAAGGGATCAAGCTTTGTTGTGATGATTTTAATGTAAATCTTGCCTTTCGGCTTCTCTCCCTCATTTATATCAAGGAATACAAATACAACAACACCTCTAACTAAACCTTCCAAATTGACAATTAAACTGACAGATTTTCCACGACAACAATGTATCACATGACAAAGTGTGAAAGCAATGTGAAAAGGGAGCGCTTGTAGAGATGGACCTAATTTGAATTAGCCCAGAATCCTGTATTTGTCTCATTTGTTCACAGTCTGAGCAAAATGATTTACCTTTTTATTTTTAGAGCCTCGATTAGGACGAGGAGCCACCCCAAACAAAACCCTTTCAATGAAGGGAGGATCTCCTAAATATAGCTAAAGATGAGCTAATATTACCCATGATGATTCATCGGTTGTCATTCCACCCTTGTCTATTCAGCTGTTTCATTTTCATTGTATTGCTTTTTTTAAATAATAAATATCTTTTACAGCTTTGGTAATCTTTTTTTGTCCCCTGCACTGGTTATGTAAAATGTTGGGTAAGCCATTTTGTAACAGGGAGCTGATCTTGAAATGGGTAAACACTCGCCCAGCCCACTGTGTACAAAAGGGAGCTTCCTGAGGAGTCGAAGCAAAAGCGAGGATTCATTTCATACCACAAATGTGTCACTGACTAGACATGGAGACACAACTGACGGTGTAAAGACTGACACTCCCATAATATTGGTGTTATATAACTTTGTTCAGTCAAACGTAACAGCTAACATCTGCCTGGAGTCCCGTAGGTTTAGGAACCTCTGAGGACTTTCCACGTAGAGCCAGATGAGAAATCACCCCACTTATCGTGGTCAGTGGGCACAACTGGCTTTGGTTAGGCGCGTCTTTAGTGGACGAGCACTGAAATTGCCTCTTAAGCAACTGCATGAGTCACGAGCAGTCGAGAGACACAACCCAAAACGAACGATTTCAAGCTGCCTGTCCATGTTAAACAATGTCAACAGCCTATGTTTAGAAATGTTAAAGCCCATGCTTTGTACAAAATCATGATCAGCTCCATGGAGATCTGATTAAAACATGCTTACTGCTCTGTCAATATCCAGTCACTGCTTTTGTCTGTCTGGTCACTTTGTTTCATATCATTTTAAATTGTGTCTTAAAGGCGATTTTGAAAAAAGTCAAATTTCAATATGATGATGTTAAAGCTACTGTGAGGAAATTGAACTGGTTATGAAATGGTGTCAATTAATGACACCATTAGTTAATACTGATGCCTCCATATGGCCTCCATATGTGAACGAGACCATCAGATAGAAGACTGTCTATTCATTGGTGCCACCAGTTCGGATTCAGCGCAAAATCACATGAAATCATGCAGGTTCACTGGCTCTGGCAGAGACCAGCCCACCACGGACCGAGAGCCCATAGCCTGGCAGTACTGCTGGACCCGCTGGAGGGAAGGGAGGCATGGGAGAACCAGAACCTGGACTGAGCGTAGCAGACTGTCAGACGCCTCCTGCAGTAAAATTAGATGTTTTCTAAAGGGACTCTGGTGCTCGGAAACACTACCACTTTAGTCCACAGGGACCGCCAAAATCAACACAAAATGAAAGTAACTTCAAGCAAATTTGTAGTGGCCCGAGGGAACCAAGCATCAGGTTTAAACACAACAGGCTGACTCCTTACAATTAGACATACTCCTAATCAATAAACATTGCTGTTTATAAAAGATTATTTTGTGTGCTTAAATAGCTTATCGTCACACCAAATTGTATCAAATCTGCTGACCACCCTCGCTCTTTTTTTTTTTTTTTTTTTTTTTTTTTTTTTTTTTTTTTTTTTTTTTTCTTTCCACAGGCCGAGAGTCTAGATGGAGCCCTCTGCGTGCCGGACATCAAGCTGCACAGCAACCCATCTGCTTTCAATGTCTACTGCAACGTGCGGCACTGTGTGCTGGACTGGCAGCAGAGAGAGGCCTCCCTAGTGCTGGCCTCCAGGAGCTCGGTGCAGAGCGGCGACTCCGACAGCGAGGAGGAGGAAGAGTACCGCGAGCCGGCCGTGAAGCTGCCAAAGGTATGAGCAGCGGGGCAGTGTTGGCCGATGATGTGTTGGTGGCGGCGCTCGGTGTCAAGGCGAGAGCCAGGCTGTGCCCTTTATCTTAGGGGTACAACAATCCTTAATCTCCCGGGGCTGGTATGTAGGACTCATTATCAGAGTCGCTTTACAAGAGGTCTGACACCCTCTTTCTGTGAGGATTACAGCCTCTGCTCTGATTCCCCCAGCTCCCTCTTCTACTGTGAGCCTGCCGGTTTATCTGTCTCACTCATCATCAGAGCTGTCGGCTTCCTACTAAAAGTTGTAGGAGCACCAATTAATGGACATGCAAGGCGACACATTCATATTTTTTATAGTTTAGCTGTATTATCGATGCTTTGGTGAAATAGCACTTTAAAAAAAATGTAGACACCAAATAATAAATTGTGCGGTTGAGTCTTATGGGCTACCACGATAAAGGCACTATTTTTTTTAACTAATCGAACTGTAATGATGAATTGCCCGCTGCAAACTGGGGCTGCTGTCTCTCTCTTTCTCTTTCTCTGTCTCTGTCGTTCTCTCTCTCTGTCTTTCTCTGTCTCTCTCTCTGTCTCTCTCTCGTGTGTGCTGGCCAGAGGTAATATGCAATCACAGCTATCCTATTCGATGACGTTAATTGTTTTAGGATTGCTTGTATAGTGTCCACCTTCAGTTGCACTTGCAAAATCAATATTAGCATTGTGTTATAAATCAGAATTGTCACTTTTTAAGCACACAATGAATGCCATTAACGCCAGCGCTAAAACCGCGTGTTGGTGCGGGCGGGACCAATTCATCAGTTTCACATCATGATCATTTGCAAAACAAAACAAAACTGGGACACATTTGCAAGTCCCACTGTTGTCTCCAACAGTGGGGATGTCAAGCTGCTCTACTGAAACCAGCGCTAAGCCTAAAGGCAGATGTCCGGTTGCATATCGGATTTAAAAATATAAAGACAGAGGAGAGCTGGAAATAAGCAAAGTTATTTTTAAGATGTGCTAAATTGATATTGTGGAAATACCACAAGAGACTGTTGAGTTGCACTTAATTGGTTGACTGCTGTAGTGTGTTCATGTTAAATAAGAAGTACATAAATGGAACTGCTTTGGGATTAATTCTTAAGCATTAATGTTTTTAATAATGCACCAGGTTGGAGGGTTCCTGGTACAATTCCCAGCCTTAATTCTCTGAGAATCTCTTTGATATCCAAGCTAAACCGTTACTGAAATATCCCTGTTTGAGAAGAAATCAAATCATCATTGGAAATCGACTCTAATTGGGAACTTGTGATTCACAATCGAACTGATTTAGGAAATCAGTTCTATTTAAAAAGCTCACTCCAACAGGACTAACCGTGCTACAGTGCCACAGTATTTCAATAGTGATATAATAATTATGTGTGTGCAATGTGTGTCTTGTGTTGTGTGCTCGCTGCACATACTGGTTTACAGGTAAATACTGGAATGGTTTAACTTGCAGTCGTCATTGTGTTAACTGGAAAGTTCCTATTTCATCCGGACAAATGTCAATGACTTCTGATATATGTCAGGGTGATTCAATTTGACGGAGTGCCTGAAAGCCTTGAGAAAGTATTTCACTTTCATAAATTTAACAAGTTTAAAGATCAGGAATATCTATCACGTATGTGTTCATCTATATCTATTCAGTTTTTGGCATTTGGTATTGGTTTGTCATAACTTTTCCACTTGGCATTATCAGTGAGATCGGAGGGAAACATTGGAGCATAGTTTGATTCACTAATGAGCCACACTGATCCTTTTCTAGGCCAAACGCCTTCTCCAGCCTGCCTTCTCCCGTGGGTCTGTTACACAAAATGTTAGTAGTGGATGTTGAAGCCAGCAGTAGTAACTGTACATACTTGGGACCCTAGCTTAATGTAGGTTGTTTAACTGTAGGATGATGAGGACATATCATTAGAAGAAAACCTCAATCCTCTTTCTTCATCAGTTCTGTTTTATTTAGCAGATCAAAAGATTGTTTTCTACATGTATGCAGAATGTCAGTGTGTTTCATCCTCATTTTGCTGTCTAAATCCTGCTACTCTAGCAAGACTCAGGCTTTAGTTCGACATCACGGTGTTCTTTAGCTCACAGAAAATGTGCTTCTTTCTGTGTGTGCGGTGCAGATCATTGGCATCGGGCTGTGCGGGGTGTTTGAGCTGATAAAAGAGACTCGGTTCTCTCACCCCTCGCTATGCCTGCGGAGCCTGCAGGCCTTGTTGGACATGCTGCAGGGACAGCAGCCCGAGGGCTTTCAGACCGAGCCTCCTGATGTGCTGGGTAAGGCGGAGCATGTTTGTGACCCTTCAAAGGTTTCGTTGACCCTGTCAAAGATATGTTGTTGCAACCTAAAGGTCATTTTTAGACTGTAGTTAGTTAGTTTAGTTGTTTTGCAATTTGTGTGTTTCAGCCTGATTTACACACAGCACTCCCGTTTTTTTCCCTTTTCACTGACGTCTAACCTGCCCTCCACCTGTGCGCCTCCCTCAGAGTCTCTTTTCCAGTTGTTGTTGGAGACCACGGTCCGGAGCACGGGGCCCAACGACCCGACGGGACAGGCCATCACCGCCCTGTCCTGCGCCTGCCTCTTCAGCCTGGTGGTGGCCTGGGGAGACACCGGCAAAATCCTGCAGGCCGTCTCTGCCATCCTCACCAACAACGGCAGCCACGCCTGCCAGACGATACAGGTAATCAACCAATTTTGATTAATCAGACTGCGTTTGACAATAGGACTGTGTTCTCCATCTTTATTTCTGCACCACTGGCGTTCATATGAAAACCAACATGATGAAAGAAGATACCTGTGAGTCAGTCCAAACTGTGCTTGGCTTAGCATCTGCGTCAACATCTTACTTTTGCACTGATCACCTGTTCAGATCGCTATCTTGCGTTGAACAGACATTTTTATCTTGCAAGAAGAATCCCAGGTGTTCCTGATGTTGTATTCCATGAAGCACAAAGCTGGAATGACAATGGACCTCATGCAAGAACCTTTTTGTGTATCTAAACTGTCTGTGCCATGTCAGATTCAACGCTTCTAACTTTAGATAACTGTGTAAATGACCAACATAAACGTGACGAATGCCAACTGTGCACCCGTGAGAATTGTGAATTAGCATAATGAATGCCCCAATAATACCATACAAGGCTACGCATCCTGCAGCATATGACTTTTATTGAAGTCCTACTTTCAGAGATCCATAAAGGAAAGTCCATCATTTTAAATAGCAGAATTAAAGGACCTTAATGGCGAGGAATGTGGAAAAATAACGAGTGCTGTTAATGCTGTGTGGTTCCGTAATGGTTCCATATGAAAAATGATAACTGCAACAAGAGGATGTCAAATTATTTAGCATATTGATATAGTAGTGTTTTACTATAGCATGAATAGCCAATTTAAATTAACGGTGACACTGTTAGGCTATGTGAATACATACAAAATTATATTAGCTTATAATTTGAATTGCAGAGTCAAACGGGATTATGTCAACATAATTGTGTAATTTAAGTGTAATTTATAAGGTTTTCATACTCAAAATGGCTTCAAAGTAATGAAATATACAACCCATTGGGAAACACTTAAAGTTTGTATAACAGCAGACTAATGTCACATGACTTCTGTAACAGGTCTGGACCCCTCATACATTGTGTTTGTACCTGTTAGAAAACCAGCAATTGAGGCAGTAGTTCCTTGCGCTTTTCTCACATCCCGGATTAAATTTAACTGAATTACCTTTTGTCATGTCTAAACCAGCTCTACTGGGAAATGTGCACATCTCTATTATCCATTCACGTTCAGATCACCACAGTGCACTGTAGAAGGCTAAAATAACCTCTGGCTCCGCCATGCACTTCCTCTGAGCAAAGAGACTCGGCACAGTCTCTGGACGGCACAAATTGAGTTTTAGAAAATGTCAGGCCGCTCTGACTCTACCCTGCACAGCATTCTGACGCCAGTTTAATCTCTAGCTTGCCTCTTTGTTTCATACTCAGTTTATTTTGTAATGTCTTCTACATCATATCAAAACCGCTTTCCTAAGATTTTAGGAGTATTTTCAACTGTAAGCATGTTTTCTTTTTGTGGGAATGCTTTATGTCCATTAAAATATTTCACCCTTTATCTGCATACTGATAAAATTACTCCGCCTGACCAAGGCTGCAGAGAGCCTCACACATTTATCCCCCACAGACTGGACTGTGAATCATCACAATGGCAGGCAGGCAGGCGGGAAGTGTGGGCTTATGTGCTGTACGTGTCGGTGTGTTCATGTTTGTTTGCACGTGTGTGAACGGTGAGACCAGCGGTGTGTGGTTTTTATAAAGGATGTGAGAAATGTGTTGGTGTGAAAACGCAGAGCAAAGAGAGCAAATATGAATGGATTTGACTCAGTCGGCAGCAAAGCCGTCTGGTGCGTGGTCTACCCCACAAAACACACCCCATGATGTCCCATTAGAGGTTGGCACTTTTGCTAATTTCCACCCCCTGTCCTTTGTCTCTCCAATCTCACCAGGTGCCCACCATACTCAATGCCCTACAGAGGAGCGTACAGGCAGTCCTGGTGGGAAAGATCCAGATCCAGGACTGGTTCGGGAACGGCATCAAGCGCGCTGCCCTCATGAACAAGTGGATCCTGAAGGAGGTGGCCATCGACGAGGACGAGCGCTGCCTTCTGCAGACCGATGGCTCCTTCCTGTACTTGCTCTGCAAGGACGGACTCTACAAAGTGGGCTCTGGATACAGTGGCACCGTCAGGGTACGGGACACTCGAAGCTGCATGTCGCGAACTGTAATGTGACAACCACAGTGTCTCCTAAATTTGAGAGAATTCTCTTTATTCTTAAAAGACAAACGGGTAAACTGGATTATTTCGATAAAAATGAATCAATTCATAAGGAGGACTGCTGTTCTTGGCTTGGGAAATGTTCACATTTTAGCAATACATGGGTTAGCAACTACAGTTGTGTGAAAAAGTGTTTGCCCCCTTTCTGATTTCTTATTTTTTTTGCATGATTGTCACACTTAAATGTTTCAGATCAAACAAATTTAAATATTAGACAAAGATAACGCAAGTAAACACAAAATGCAGTTTTTAAATGAAGGTTTTTATTATTAAGGGGGGAAAAAAAATCCAAACCTACATGGCCCTGTGTGAAAAAGTGATTGCCCCCTAAACCTAATAACTGGTTGGGCCACCCTTAGCAGCAACAACTGCAATCAAGCGTTTGCGATAACTGGCAATGAGTCTTTTACAGCGCTGTAGAGGAATTTTGGCCCACTCATCTTTGCAGAATTGTTGTAATTCAGCCACATTGGAGGGTTTTCGAGCATGATCCGCCTTTTAAGGTCATGCCACAGCATCTCAATCGGATTCAGGTCGGGACTTTGACTAGGCCACTCCAAAGTCTTCATTTTGTTTTTCTTAAGCCATTCAGAGGTGGACTTGCTGGTGTGTTTTGGATCATTGTCCTGCTGTAGAACCCAAGTGCGCTTCAGCTTGAGGTCACGAACAGATGGCCGGACATTCTCCTTCAGGATTTTTTGGTAGACAGCAGAATTCATGGTTCCATTTACCACAGCAAGTCTTCCAGGTCTTGAAGCAGCAAAACAGCCCCAGACCATCACACTACCACCACCATATTTTACTGTTGGTATGATGTTCCTTTTCTGAAATGCCGTGTTACTTTCACGCCAGATGTAATGGGACATACACCTTCCAAAAAGTTCAACTTTTGTCTCGTCAGTCCACAGAGTATTTTCCCAAAAGTCTTGGGGATCATCAAGATGTGTTCTGGCAAAACTGAGACGAGCCTTTATGTTCTTTTTGCTCAGCAGTGGTTTTCGTCTTGGAACTCTGCCATGCAGGCCATTTTTGCCCAGTCTCTTTCTTATGGTGGAGTCATGAACACTGACCTTAATTGAGGCAAGTGAGGCCTGCAGTTCTTTGGATGTTGTTCTGGGGTCTTTTGTGACCTCTTGGATGAGTCGTCGCTGCGCTCTTGGGGTAATTTTGGTCGGCCGGCCACTCCTGGGAAGGTTCACCACTGTTCCATGTTTTCGCCATTTGTGGATAATGGCTCTCACTGGGGTTCGCTGGAGTCCCAAAGCTTTAGAAATGGCTTTGTAACCTTTTCCAGACTGATGGATCTCAATTACTTTGTTTCTCATTTGTTCCTGAATTTCTTTGGATCGCAGCATGATGTCTAGCTTTTGAGGATCTTTTGATCTACGTCACTTTGTCAGGCAGGTCCTATTTAAGTGATTTCTTGATTGAGAACAGGTGTGGCAGTAATCAGGCCTGGGTGTGGCTAGAGAAATTGAACTCAGCTTTCCAAAGATGTGATAAACTACAGTTAATTTATGTTTTAACAGGGGGGGGGCAATCACTTTTTCACACAGGGCCATGTAGGTTTGGATTTTTTTTCCCCCTTAATAATAAAAACCTTCATTTAAAAACTGCATTTTGTGTTTACTTCTGTTATCTTTGTCTAATATTTAAATTTGTTTGATGATCTGAAACATTTAAGTGTGACAAACATGCAAAGAAATCAGGAAGGGGGCAAACACTTTTTCACACAACTGTATATACTCTGTCGCCAGTTTATTAGGTACACCAGGCTGAAACTAATGCACTCTAATCCAGCTGTAAATCCGTTATTCAAGAAGGTTATAATCAGTTTTATGCATGTGTTGATTCGACTTAATGGACGTTTTGGAGGATGTAGTTTGTGTTGCTGTTGAACTGTATTTATACTGACATGTGTTGTCTATTATTTTTATATAAATGAGGCTAAATAACATAATGGCCTCTGGCAGAGAGCACTGTTACTAGGCAGCCATAACTCTGCTTTATAACACAATACTCTCACTTTAAAGAGGGTGACGACTCCAATGCGTGCTAAATAAAACAATTTTATTTTTAACATTAAAGGTGTGTCGGTGTCTGTGGTCGTCTGCTCATGTGTTCATCAATGTCTCACAGGGCCACGTGTACAACTCCACGTCTCGTACCAGGAACCGGAAGGACAAGAGGTCGTGGCTGGGCTTTGCTCAGGTTGGTAGTGTAGCTTTCATCGAGATGCTCCGCACATACATTTCTGTGAAGTGGCTTTGAAAAAGGCTTCGAGTGTGCAAAAAATTTGACTTAACCTCCATCCTTAAATGATGTTGGTTATTTGTAGCCGGTGCTGTTTAGTGTTGGTCCCGTGAACCTTAACAACTGTAAACTGTGTTTTTATGAATCCTGGTGTTGTTAAAGTACAGTATCATCTTCATCGTTATCAACAATATGTGTAAGCAAGCTGTAAGGCCTCCGTTAGAAATAGTCCTTACTGACGTTCGATCAGCAGCAGTGTTTCTTTTGTGTCTTCAGGGGTACCTGTTGTATCGGGACACAAGTAACCACACGATGTCGGCCATCAAGATCAACCCTGAGACTCTGGAGCACGAGGGGACTGTCACCATGCCAGGTTCTAAGAAAAACACTTTTTTCGGCTTGTTTACAGAAAAAAAAAAAACACCCTTCATTGTTATGAAGTTATTTAAATTCCAACTAACAAGATACAATTGACTTTGTTTCTCTTTGCAGGTCAACATTCAGACGGACAGAACATCATCTTCACAGACGGAGAGTACATCAACCAGATAGCAGCCTGCAAAGACGTACGTCTAATGTTCCTGCTCTTCATCACCATGACAATAACATGCATCATCTTTCTGAGGCACTTTAATAGAACAACATTTTCAATGTGAAATTGAATCGGTATCAGTTGGGGGAAGTTCACACAGTTTTCTTTACATGTGTAATTGAACCCTGTACTGCCCATGTCCGCTGGTACCATGGTGGAAGGAGCTGACTTTATTATTCACTGTAGGATTGTTAGATTCCATGTCAGAGGTCCGGCCTGTGAGTCGCGTCTGGAAAAAGTCTTGAATCGTCATTGACTTGCCCCCCCGAGTCTAGACGGCAGGCGTCGGGTCGCGTCACTGTCTGATTGTCCTGATTTATCTTTCTATTAACACTGATGTGTAATATTGTTTCATGATTTGACACTACTTTCATGTTTTAACCTTCATCACATAGCCAAAGGCTAACATTAGCGTTTACAAAAGCAATTTGTTGGTCTGAAACTCTAAAGAGGACTTTTATTTGTGTACCACTTTTCAAAACGCTTTACACATCAAACGATACAGAATCAATAAATAAACGTCAATAAATCATCAAACTTTCCATCAGAAACAATGCAATCAAAGAACAAGGTTGGATAACTATAAAGAAAGATAATATGATAAAAGTTTAGTAATTAAAATCATGAAATCATCTAATCATTAAATATGTAGTGGATTTGTAGCAAAGTAGCAGTGTTTTATTGGGAATCAACCTCGTGTTTGAGCGTGTATAACAAAAACACTAGCCGTAAATACAGGTTGCAGTTAGGCCCCTTGAGATGCAGCTGAGATGCGAGCCTCCACGACGCCAGTGTGGACAGCTGCAAAGACTGACGCATAAGGTATCTGTTGCATTAGACGCGCGGGTGACAAACAAATCTGTTATGCTGTAAATTCTAGGCTGTTAGAGTCCATCTCTATCGTCAGCGTTTGTGAGCAGTTGTCCGTACTAAAATAAATGCAGAGACCATATGTTTACGGTGCCATTCATCGATCACATACACAAACACACTAGTGCTATCAAACCCTTTCCTGCTCTTCAATTGTCACCTTTTTCATCTTGTGCAACTCTGTGAGCTTTCATTCAATGCGCGTTGCCCTCATTGTTAGTCAGAATAAGGTAGCTGTTTCTCTTGTGCTGCCCCGTGAAGCATCTGTCACTTCCCCTGCCATGGAGGCCTCAGCCTCACTTGCTCTCAGCTGTGCCACCGAGGGAGGGAGGGGGAGGGGGAGGGGGAGGGGGGTGGGTGTGTGTGTATCGGTGTAGCTGTGTCCGTGTGTGATGCCTATATGTGGGTGTGGCACCAGATGTGGGTATTCTCCAGAGAGCTTAATCTCTCAAGCAATTATCTGCATAAGCACTATGTAATGTGAGTGGGGGAGGGGAAGATGTGGAATCCATATAGCTGCCGTCGCAGTTAGCCTGATAGCAGTCTCTAGGCTAATCAAAGGGATAGGGGGGATATTTTATGGGGGAGGAGGGGGAGTTCTTAGAAGCTGCATTTTATTTTATTTTTTTCTGAGCAGCCAGCAAATGCAACCACAGCAGAGACCACTTAACGGTTGAGGAAAACCACATGATTCACACAACGAGGGGGTTTCAGATTGCTGGGAAGAGGGTGATGTGGGTGAACTATAGGAGGTCAAGGAGATAGGAAGAAGGTAACATGTAGGGAGGGAGGAAAAGTCAATGGGTATACTGGCCAGAGGATAGAGGCGCTTCATTTAATGATGTGAGTGGCACATGTGCTCTCCTCTGCAGGAATCAAAGCACAATAGATGAGTGCGTCATCATTACCACACTGTGGAAACCAGACCATCCCCACGCTACCCGTCATCTTTTCTTACACCTCTGTTGCACCCAATTATTTCCTTGTTGTGTTCCTCTCTTTACTCCCCCCTCGTAAATTGCCCCCCTTCAGCCACGAACCCTACAGCCTGAGTAGCCCACATCTCTGGCAGCTCCATCGTCTGTTTGCCCTGCATTGAGTCCGAGGCTGCATCCTTTTGCTACGCCGATGCCTCGCGTCCATCCTACCCCGGCATTTCAGAACCCCTAAAAACGGAGACGTTTGAAAACACTGGCAGAGCTGTTTTAGTTTGAAAACTCCCGAGTTGCGTTTTTTAAAATCTGGACGTGCAGAAAAGAAGACCTCTGAAAACGATGACACCCACGTTTGCCCGACGCGTCCTTCCCTGACCTGTCACGTGATCCTTCCGCGGAAGAAAACAAACGACATCAGCCTCGCCCTAGCAGTGGTTCAGTTCAACATGGGTAACGAATTACAAGTGTTGTGAGTTGTGGATCGATCACACCTCATGGTGTTGTAAGGATAAATGGAGCACCAGTTGACAGACTTATCCATGACTCCAGTAAGGAGTGTGCCTATCCAACGCATATGTAGTGAATTACCTCATTCCCCACTAAAGTCATGCAGTCAAGTGTTTCATGTCCTCAGGGTGTCCCCATCACACATTATTGTGATTTAAAGAAATATAGGAAATATGCTTATTTGCAGTAAATATTCATATTTATTGTACATACATGTGAGTAACATACATGCATACATGGCAAGAAAATAAATGAGTAATTTATTTCTCAAAAGTTTGAACTTTTCCTTTAAGAGCTTGATTTGCTCAAATTCAGGGAGCTGAAGTGGGGATGTGTTTTCATTAAGGGACTTCCTGTTTCCTAAGATTGTTAGCTGGACTCTTAGGTGCCACAATGTAGCAACATTGAGTCATGAAACTGAACCGCGTTTCATCCTGTCGGCCCCCGACTCCTGCAGGATGGTTTCGTGGTGCGGATCTATACCATGAGCTCAGACCCGGCCCTGCAGCAGGAACTGCAGCTGAAGCTGGCAAGGAAATGTCTGCACGCCTGCGGCATCTCTCTGTTCGACCTGGAGAAGGATCTGCACATCATCAGTGAGTGATGAAAATATACTTATATCTGTGTAAGGCTGTTGGTTTGGGATTTTTTTATATGCATACGTATACCTGCTAAAGACATTTGTGTCGACAAGGTTGCAAATGTGTCAGAAATTGTTCGAAACACATTGAATTAAAAAAAAAAGAAGAAGAAAAACAAATCGCTCATTCCAACCTTGTGTCATTGTGCATTTGTGTCTAAATGTTGTCGTCCCAGGCACAGGCTTTGATGAAGAGGCAGCGTTGCTTGGAGCGGGCAGGGAGTTTGCTTTGATGAAAACCGCCTCAGGAAAGGTGAGTGAAAAATCCTATCTGCCTAAATAGTTTAACAAAGAAAAGGACCGTTGGAACAGATTGAACCGTTGAGCTCTTTACAGCTCTCGTCTTGCTAATGACACTTTAGAGGGGGAACGTAGTGAAAAAGCTCTAAATGAATTGTGTTTCTGCATGCGTTCCCTTCCTTCTTTCATCACACTGGCCACATGAAGCCCATCGTATAAAACATTCCCTTTGTCTCATAACATCTGTATGCAGTTAGCTGCAGTCAGATTTTCCTAGGTCAGGCTGCACTAAACTAAAGCACAACAATAAGACATCTCTTCTTGTTTTGGATATATTTCAGGGCCCTTTTAAATAAAACATAATGAGGGAGCTGTATTTTTTTTGGGAGATGTCTTGTGGTCTAAGTATTGTTTATTGTGCTCTGGACCAAATCCTTGTTAGTTTTTATATGAATGTTTAGCCGATACAGTGACCTCTCTGCTTGAGTAAATGGAAGTATTTCACCCAGCTAAGCAGTAGCTTGACAGCGCATTGAGCATAAACACCTTTGTGCATGCTCGTTGATCGCGTGCCATCTGCGGAGGTTCACGCTACGCTGCCACGCGCGAGTATAAACAAAGCTTAAGACTGCGGTTGGTCATGGACTGAGTCTGTCAGGAGGCCCAACCACTGTAGGCAGTGGCTGGGCCTACTGAGATAAGTCCCATTTCTTTTAGACGAGCATGCTAGCTATGCAGTTTGTTGGGGTGTGCGGAGGGTGTGTCTGTGCTGTAGGTGTGGTGCAGTGGGCCTCATCTGTAGATAGCAGGCCAGGGCAGTCACCTGTTGCACATTTCTGTGTCTGTGTGGAGGCCTAATCTCACCGCACACTTTATCTGCAGAATACCTTAACCCAGACTGGCTGGATGGGTAAAAATAGGAGCAGCTGACTTGCATCTTGGCACAAAGTTCACTCATTGTTAGGGTTGGAAATTATGCCAGACATTTGGTGTAAAGGAAAGAGTCAAAGGCCCAGTGTTTATTAACAAGCTACTGTGTGTTCTTCATATTATCATAAAGTGAATGTCAGATGATTTGAGTTATGATTATTGAGTTAAAAATAAAAAAAAACTTCTCCAGCAGCATTTGTAAACGTAGCACCACAATGTAAAAAACTTGTAGCCCACGAAATATGAAATAGTATTCCGACACTATTCATTACGCATCAATATGAATTATTCTGAGTTATTCTCAGACAGGTGCGGGTGTGGGTGCGGCGCTGAGAGACTGAAGTAGATGGATAGACAGTCTCAACAAAGCCAGGTCTCTTATTTTATGTTGACATATTATGGCTACAGTATTTGTATTTATTTGTTTATAGGTCTACGTGTGAGGAAATGGGTTTTTATGGACTAGCAACCATTGTCATTCATATGATGTAATTATTTCTCATTTTGTTTTCATTTTTATTGCAATAAAAAGGAAAATCTTTGAAATCCAAATTTTGTCCTCAGCTCTCATTAGACAATAATTGCGAAATAAAGTACAATATGAGTAAATAACGACCGGTAGTTTGAGGAAAGTTTGACAGCTTGTGTTGTCATCGTTGACAACTCCCGCCGCTGTTTTAATGCACTGGCCTCACCAGGGCTCAATGACGCAATGGCAGCAAGTTGTGACTCCGACACAAACTTTTTGTCAAACACTTTTCTTTTCTAGCAATCGTAAATCTTATTTTTCTTACCGACTGACTCCCTGAGTTAAGAGTGAGAGGCAACTGATGGCTAAAATTGTGTTCGGGACAGCCCATGTTGATGCAGCAGGGATGTCGGCTGTCCCAATTCAAGATTCCGGGCCATCTGCCAAAAAAAATTCACCCAGATTAAACTTTTGACACAGCATAGTGCAAACAAATGGAGATACTGTAGATCCAAAAATAACCACTGTAAGAAAATTTGGACCTGAACTTCTTTTCTCATCTTCCCCTTGCAGATTTACTACACCGGAAAGTACCAGAGCCTGGGCATAAAGCAGGGTGGTCCTTCAGCAGGGAAATGGGTGGAACTGCCTGTTACAAAGTCTCCCAAAATCATTCAGTTCTCGGTCGGCCACGATGGCTCTCATGCACTGCTGGTGGCCGAAGACGGAAGCGTGTTCTTTACAGGCTCTGCCAGCAAGGGAGAGGACGGAGAGTCCAGTAAGACAATTTCAAACTTTGGGCAAACCTTTTAAAAATTAATTTTATTATTAAGCGCTGAATCAAAGCCCCCTCAGTTGAACTCCTGACGTTGATGTCTGTTGTTTTCCCTTGCAGCTAAAAGCCGCAGACAGCCCAAACCCTACAAGCCCAAGAAGATGATCAAATTAGAGACCAAGACAGCGGTGCACACAGCGTGTAACAATGGCAGCAGCAGCATCGTCACCAAGGACGGAGAGCTCTACATGTTTGGCAAAGATGCTATTTACAGTGACAGCACTTGTGAGTTGACTGGGACAGGGCTGTTTCTTCAACCTCAGTTTCTCTGAGATATTTCAGTAGTTTCTTTGATAAAGACATTTTAGAAAGATCTTAATATATTTCTCAGTTTCTAAATTCTCTTTATAATCATTACTTTCTCGTCTGCAGGCCAGGTGACGGACCTGAAAGGTCACTCTGTAACTCAGGTTGCCATGGGCAAGGCCCATACCTGTGTTCTGACCAAGAGTGGTGAAGTGTGGACATTTGGGGTGAACAACAAGGGCCAGTGTGGCAGAGACACTGGATCCATGAGCCAGGCAGGGAAAGGTGAACAGATGGACAAACAAATCCAAACGAGAACATACTGTATATTGTGTCTTACATAAACGCACATTGTCTTTGTACTGTGCTCAATTTGATGTCTTTACCGTGTGTGTGTGTGTGTGTGTGTTTATTGTAGCGTTCGGTGTGGAGAGCATGGCCACGGCCATGGATGAGGACCTGGAGGACGAGCTGGAAGAGAAGGAAGAGAAGAGCATGATGTGCCAGCCGGGCATGCACAAGTGGAAGCTGGACCAGTGCATGGTGTGCACGGTGTGCGGAGACTGCACCGGCTACGGTGCCAGCTGTGTCAGCAGTGGACGGCCGGACAGAGTACCAGGAGGGTAAGAAGCACAGAAAACTGAAGGTGGTAACTACAGTATCTGTACAGCACCTACATTTATCAATGACCAAGTACTGTCAAGAGACAGAAAATGTGCACATGATCTTGGGGGAGGATCTTTTTTTAACACATTTTTGGCTATATTGTTTCTCATAATGTGAATGTATTTGTCCGTCTGTGTCCTACCAGTATCTGTGGCTGTGGCTCTGGAGAGTCTGGCTGCTCGGCGTGTGGCTGTTGCAAGGCTTGTGCTAGGGAGCTGGATGGTCAAGAGGCCAGACAGAGAGGCATCTTTGACGCAGTGAAGGAGATGATTCCTCTGGACCTGCTGCTAGGTATGCTAACTGATTTCTTATATGACTTCATGACCCCCCCCACCCCCTGTTTTGCTTTCTCACACTTTACTCGCCTGTATCACCACTTGCATTGTTTTTACATTTTGCTCACAAAGTCTGATAAATCAACTGCATGTTAAAATGTCATGCACACATATGCGATGTGATATTCTAAGTGTGCCAGCTATACATCCTTCTGAGCTATGCAAGTGTGCTGCTTACGCCACACGCATCACACTGCCTGTCACATTCGCTCCAATGCACTGTTTTGCGCGCTTGTCGTCGCTCATCTTCTGTTTGGTTCTTGTGTTGTGCAGAGTCATTGCTTCTCCATGACGTCTTTCCATCATTCATTGACATGTGTCTTGTTTTGTTCTGCTCTGCTCCGTCTTCCCTTCTCCTCCTCCTCCTCCTGCATCCTATCTGGGCTGCCTGTACCTGGGTCCTTTTTTTGGGGGGGGTTTTCAGCTGTGCCTGTCCCTCCCCCTCCAGGAGTGAACATCGAGGAGCACATTCAGATCCGTCAGGAGGAGAAGCGACAGAGGATCAACCGCCGGCACAGGCTGGAGGAGGGCAGAGGTATGAATCAGGGCGTAACAGTCTGGGGACTATGTTTAGAGATTTTTTTGGGGCTTTATGATATACTTTCTACATTAGAGAATAAAGCATAGACACGGGGAGAGTGAGAAGATGGCAGTAGTAGTCAATGAACAGGGGGAAGCTACAAACTCTTTTGCTGTGTGAGCTTGGGTGTTGTGCCTTGGTGACTTCCCCCTTTGCTTGTGTCTTTTATACTTTTTCAGTGTGTGTGTGTGTGTGTGCATTGTTGTGGTGAAGTATTTATCATGTGTTCTTTCCCATATGTGAGCATTGTGCATGCATGTGAAAGTGTCTTTCTCCACCAGGCCCCCTTGTTTTTCCCGGTCCCATATTTATGAACCAGCGTGAGCAGGCCCTAGCCAGAATAAGACCCCTTCAGGCACTAAGGCATAAGCGGGACAAGCACAAAGGTACTTTGGTCTTCACTAACTCAACGGGTGCAGAGACACCCCTTTTTTGACTTATCTCCCAATCTGGCTGTCCCGCCCACCTCCTCTCTCACTCTCTGACGGTGGGACTCTCATGTCTTCACCAGGTCTCGTGGTAACAAAACAATGTGGCCTGTTGGCAAGACGGACTCACTGTGACTCACAGTGGACAAATGACTGTGAAGCCTTTAGAACCGGGTTAAAGACCGACCTCAGCAGGCTGCTTCCCTTTTGAGTTTGAACATAGGAAAGGGCTGAAGTACAGTAAAGACCCGGTCTGTCCTGCTAATTCATTTTCTTGTTTAACCGTTCTAATCCTCGGAGTAGGATGCCTGCTCTGCCCCGCTGCTGTTGTTTGACCCAAATAGAAATCCTGAAATATACTTGCCATCACTCCCGTAGCGGCTGATTTGCCACTTCACGGGTACAACATTAGCATTGCAAGAGGACAAAAAACAGCGATCACTGGGGGGACAGTGAGCTTTGATGAACGACGAGCTGAAATGTGTGATGCAGAAGGAAGGAAGCAGGCCTGTTAGCTTTATAATCCATGTTTTTAGATGTGAGGCATCTCATGAAAAAGGCTCAGAATTCGACCACAAACTCCATGAACTTGGCATAAAGCTAAGCTTTTCAGGCACTGGAACATCACATGTTTACTTTTCTCTCAGTTAACTATTCAACCAATGGACAACTTGTAATTCCAGTAAGACCCACGTTTATGATTCAGCTGAAACGACATAACACAGTTATACAATAGATATGTAGTTCATTTGTGTTGGTTGGTTTTGGAAGAGCAGAATCTTGTTGCAACAAACCGTCTCACTTTCCTTTCTAAAGTAACCACAAGGAGGACAGAGGACACACAGGGACGCTTCAAACTCTCTCTGTAGTATTATATTCAGGGAATATTTTAGTTCATAAAAACACAAGATACTGTATCAGTCATTGCCTGCATAAATCTGACAACCAGCTGGTATCTCTGTCTGTAGCTTGTGCCCGTCTGAGCTGCTGCTTGCCGATAGGTGGCGCAGGTTGGAGTGGAACTGCAGCATTGTACCCTTGTTGATGTAAAAGCAACAGTGTGCTTTATTTCAGAGCACAGCTAATCAATGTCAGTGAAGAAATTGAGGCTGTTTTTTGGAGAATATCTTTCTATTTGCGGAACTATTCATTGTGGTTGATGCACCGTTGTAAGGCTGCCGTAGGTTATATATCACTCCTCTGAGCATCCTTGGTTTACTCATGAAGAGGGACGCTTGCTCCAACCCCCCCCCCACCCACCATACTCCGTCTGTGACCTCCCAATAAACTCTAAATGTCATGAAGAGCACTTCTGTTTTTTTTAAACTTACATTGACAGTTGTCACCATGAGATAAACTTTTTAAACCCTCATAAATGTGTGGGCCATGAGCCAGTCAAACTTCATTTTACATTTACTGTGAGGTAATATTGAAACCTAAAGCTCTTATCTCCTCTGGCCGACCTCAGATATACAGAGGTTTACCACAATGAGCTGCTTCCTGGTCCAAAATGATATTGACTGTCATTGTGTTTACTGTAACGCATGGGACTCTGTCCAACTTTTCTCCCATCACACACACACACCACAACTGTGACCTCTTAAGCAGGGCTCAGGGTAAACCAGACTCCCGCTTCCTCAGTGAACACAGACCATTGTTGAGAAGAAAATCTAATTATTTGCTGCACAATCAATCTTTACATTTGTAAGGGGACTGGTTGCCAAAAGCCTTTCTGTTACAGAGGTGTTTTTCCCTGCTTTCTATCTCGGCATGCTTCTCCCTTTTCTCCCCGCTTTCTTTTGAGTCCTCTTCTCCAGCTCTGTTTTCCAGGACTGTGCAGAGACATCCACCTCTGTGGTCTGAAGTTGCTACTAAACCTCACCCCCCCCGTGTTTTCCTCAAATGTGCTGACTTGGTTTGTTTGCCTCGTAGATGGTAGCAGTGAGCGTGGGGAGAAGGATGCCAGCAAAATCACCACCTACCCCCCCGGGGCCGTGAGATTTGACAGCGAGCTGCGAGCTGTGCAGGTCAGCTGCGGTTTTCACCACTCGGGTAGGATTCGTTTCCCGCGTGGCTGCTTCTGGTCAGGCACCAGGGTGGATCTGTCTGCATTTTACTTCAAGAACATTATTTTGAAAACCTCTGAGCAAGAGATGAACAAGATTTTCTTTACCTTGAAGTACAGAAAATGAGTGAATAACCGTCACGATTATGCTGCTTTACAGTGGTGCTGATGGAGAACGGAGATGTCTACACGTTTGGTTACGGCCAACACGGGCAGCTCGGGCATGGAGATGTGAACTCCAGGTATTTCTTCTGATACATGTTCATGAGAAAGGAAGGAATTATTCGTAATACATAAAATACAGTTCATTGGAGAATAAGATGCAGTATTTCATGTCATTTACACATTAAGCAATGGTAACTATATAAAATACTACATTACCCATAGTTCTACTGACCAGGAAGGGGGTAGCGTACAGTTTGTTGTTGTTAGACAGAAGTGTGTTCTAGGAAAGCTAGCTACTTGTTGTTGGTATAACAGGCCTACATTTCATAATTCAGCCCAAATGTTCTATTAAAGATTGAAATAAAAAATCCTTTTAATTTTGAATTCCATTACAAACTTAAGTAAACAAACTGCTGCACTCATGTGGACACACAACCTGAACTAGATGCTTCCACCTGCTAGGGGTTCTCCGACTCTGGTGCAGGCCCTTCCAGGTCCCAGTGTTCAGGTGACAGCAGGCAGTAACCACACAGCCGTTCTCCTCATGGATGGGCAGGTTTTTACATTCGGCAGCTTCTCGGTAAGAGCAACATTCTCGCTTTTTAAGAGGGTGCAGGCTTTTGTTTTTTACTCGTTTGATAGCAGTATTTTAAATGTTCAGTGCTTTACACCTGTTTTGATATAGTTGACCATAGAATGCTCTTCAGACTGAATATATATATACTCCTTGTTCTTTAGAAAGGACAGCTGGGCCGGCCCATCCTGGACATGCCCTACTGGAATGCCAAGCCATCGCCCATGCCCAACATTGGGGCCAAATATGGGCGAAAGGCCACCTGGATTGGTGCCAGCGGGGACCAGACGTTCCTGCGGATCGATGAGGCTCTTATCAACTCCCATGTCCTCGCCACTTCAGAGATCTTTGCCAGCAAACACATTATTGGGCTTGTGCCCTCCTCTGTGTCTGAGCCGGCTCCATTTAAATGCTTGCTGATCAACAAAATGGACGGAAGCTGCAGGACCTTCAATGACTCTGAGCAGGAGGACCTGCAGGGATTTGGCCTGTGTCTGGACCCTGTGTATGATGTCGTATGGAGGTCAGTCCAAGGACTATACTAACATTTTTGTTTAGTTGTAGTTGTTGCTAAGCAATGTTTTTATCCCAAGTTTTAACATTTAGTTGAAACGCCCCACAGATAAGATTAACTTGGCCTTGTAATCATTCTTTGCATCCGAGGGGAAAATAAACGACTAAAGAGAATGTGTTGAACTCAAATGTGATACTACCCGGGTATCAAGATTAACTTTTTTGGTTAAGTAGTTGAATAAGAGCTCTGAACAAAAACAGGTACATTTAAGTTGGTGCATGTTATTTTAAGGGGTCTATACATTTTTCATTTAGCCAATTTTAGTGAAACTTTTTAAAGGTGATTTTTCTTTTTAAATGAATTTACCCCTCTGTGCGCTTTTAGGTTCCTGCCTGCTGCAAAAGAGATGCTGTGCTACAATGCTGTGATAGCTGACGCCAGGATGCCCTCTGCCACAGATCTACAGGCTCGCTGCAGCATCCTCAGTCCGGAGCTTGCTTTGCCCTCAGGATCACATGCCACCACCACGCGCTCTCATGGAGCCCTGCACATCCTCGGTAATCCTCTGCTCTTCAGCCTTGTCTTTGGTCAAATTAATCTGTTTTATTAAGGTTCTAATGAATAAGTACACACATGCTACGACACAAGTGATGATGGACAATGCATCTGTGTTTCTCAAAGTAGATGTTAACACTGTCCCAAACCCCACTTTTCTGATTTTTCATGTACTGGACCCTTCGTTGAATCAGTCATGTGCTTTCAATTCTTGGTAAAATCAATTAGACGGATAGATTTGCTCTTAGATTGTAGCCAAACATGACAAACTGTTATGAATTCGTGCTCATAATCATTCAATGCTAAGTGGAAGTATACTGGGCCATCCGCTTAGGTTGCCTGGATACACTGGCCGCCATGCAAGAGCTGAAGATGGGCGTGGCCAGCGCGGAGGAAGAAACCCAGGCAGTGATGAAGGTCTACTCCAAGGAGGACTACAGTGTGGTGAACCGCTTTGAGAGTAAGTGGGCTCTTTGTGGAGGATTCATGGTAAATGATGTATGATGCGACAAACTGTGGGATACATTTGGCTTGTACAGTATATGTTGTGATTATGTCAGAGCTTGGCTAACCTTTAACATTTTTTTTAGTGCTGAGTGTGTGAAACATAAAAACTCAGATCATCCTCCTTAGTGAACAACCAAAGTGTTTAAGAGGATAAACAGCATCTGTGAGCCTTGCATAGCCTGACTGACTCCATGCGTGATGTTATAGGTCACGGTGGTGGCTGGGGCTACTCAGCCCACTCTGTGGAGGCCATCCGGTTCTGTGCTGATGCAGACATCCTGCTGGGTGGACTGGGTCTGTTCGGGGGACGAGGGGAGTACACTGCCAAGATCAAGGTGGGCCGCCTTGTCACACTTTTCTTATTTTTATTTTTTAACGAAGAGACACTTGATTATTTTTAAAGATGTATTTGCAATTTAAAGCTGCAATTTAGAAAGTCACCTGCTCTGCGCCAGAACTGACGAGACGAGCAAAAACATTACGTTGGTGAGAATCAATGCAAAGCTAGAATAATTGCATTGCAACAGTCATATAAACCTCCTCAAACCAATAACTGGAGGATAATCCACTCAATGGATTAAGTAGAATCCTTGCCTCAAATATATCACAGGTGTTTACAACATACTAACCCAGTCCTGTTGTGCAGCTTTTTGAGCTGGGACCTGACGGGGGTGACCACGAGACAGACGGCGATCTGCTGGCTGAGACTGATGTGCTGGCGTACGACTGTGCTGCCAGGTAAAAAACGTTCACGGATTCTTTCGCTTCTCCCAACTATTTTCTTGAAAAGAAACAATTCATGGAAGCAATGCTGGTCTTCTCTTTAGGGAGAAGTATGCCATGATGTTTGACGAGCCGGTGCTGCTGCAGCTGGGCTGGTGGTATGTGGCGTGGGCCAGAGTGTCTGGACCCAGCAGTGACTGTGGCTCCCACGGACAGGCTACCATTACTACAGATGATGGGTAAAACTCATTTCACAATGTAGAGGATGCTCCTGCATTTACAAATGAATACATCTTGAACATTTTACATTAACGTTTGAAGCACAGCCCTTTCATTTATCTGTTTTTTTTCCCTCTTAAGTGTGGTGTTTCAGTTCAAAAGCTCTAAGAAGTCAAACAACGGTACAGATGTTAATGCGGGTCAAATACCTCAGCTGCTATACAGGCAAGTATAGTTTTTTACACTTTGCTTACAGTGATTCAAGCATTTTTTTGTTTATCGGCTTGACAAGTAAATTATTTTGATTGTTTCTTTGTATTTGAACATCAGGCTTCCTTCAAATGATGGCAATGCAGCTAAAGGGAAGCAGCAGACCAGTGAACCAGTCCATATCCTTAAACGCTCATTCGCTCGTACCGTTTCAGTGGTCAGTATCGTCTCTGTGTTGTTGCCTGCTTAATTGTCTTGACAGATGATGTTGTACAGCACTGTGTGACTGTCTCACTCTGTCCCTGTCTGTAGGAGTGTTTTGAGTCTCTGCTGAGTGTCCTTCACTGGAGTTGGACCACCTTGGTTCTGGGTGTGGAGGAGCTGCGAGGGCTAAAGGGCTTCCAGTACACAGCCACCCTGCTGGACCTGGAGAGGCTGCGCTTTGTCGGCACGTGCTGCCTCCGCCTGCTCAGGGTCTACATCTGTGAGATCTTCCCCATCGCCGGTAGGAGCACAGACAACTCAGCGGGACTTTGTCTCCGGCAATATAACGGCTCGTTCTTGGAGAAAAGTAAAAACCACAGCGTTGCTACTTTCAAGCTGTTAGTGGCACTGCTGGTTCCCTGCCTTTTTGAATGACAAAAAACAGTTGACAATATTCATCCTTGTTAATTTTTGAATGAAATACTCGGTGCCAATCCTTTATGTCTGTTGCCTGGAAAACATTAAGACTTTTAAAGACTAGGTTGTGTATAGATTTCAAAAAGTACACTTCAATTGAACGCTTTGTTAGTAAGACCTGACAATGTTTTTCCTTTTCTGTCTGTTCTTTGATTTCTAGCCAGCACCAAAGCTGTGGTGGAGGAGTCCAGCAAGCTGGCAGAGTGCGTGGGAAAGACGCGCAGCCTGCTGAAGAAGATCCTGTCAGAAGGCATGGACAACTGCCTGACCAAGCTGGACAACGACCCCCAGGGCTACCTGTCTCAACCTTTGACCCTGCTGGAAGCTGTGCTGCAGGAGTGCCACAACACCTTCACCGCCTGCTTCCACTCGTTCTACCCGACTCCGGCTCTGCAGTGGGCCTGCCTCTGCGACCTGCTCAACTGCCTGGACCAGGTCAATGACGGCAGAGTAGAAGGAGTTTTTGAATAGGAAACTAGTTACAGTATTATTCTCGTTAGCAATTCATCTGTTTTTTCCCCTGATTTATCATCAGTGTAGTGTATAAAATGTTGATGCCGCACCACAAAGCCTACGGTGACGTCCTTCAAATTGCTTTTGTTTGTCTAAGCAGGTCGTAAACCTAAACATAATCAATGTCTAAAAACAGAAAAGCAGCACATTTTGAGAATATGTAACCATTGAATGTTTGGCTTTTTTTTTTTTTTTTTTACTGATAATTTACTTGAACAATGTTAATCAAATAAGTCGATGAATCATTTACTGTCAATCGACTAATCGATCAATTATTTAAGCTCTAAGGATTGTCAAGAGTGTTTTTAAAATCCAGCAGATGTACTTTTACATCTAGTGAACATTTTAGATATTGAGGTGATGCTCTTATAAAGATAGCCCACCAACGTTTGAAAAACCATAACTCGCTAACAGTATTGTCTTAGGCTGTTAAAGGAACGTTGTAGAAACATTAAAACAAGGTGATCAAATCTGAGATTCATTCCTGTCCTCCCTCCTCATTTAGGACATTGCCGAGGCCAACTTCCGCACGTCCAGCAGCCGCCTGCTGGCGGCCGTGATGTCGGCTCTGTGCAACACTTCGGTCAAGCTGACATCCATCCTGCCCATCGCATACGATGGGGAAGTGCTGCTGCGTTCACTGGTCAAACAAGTCAGCACAGAGAACGACTCTGCCCTCGCTCACCGCTTCCCCCTGCTGGTGGCCCACATGGAGAAACTGAGCCATGTGAGTGTTTGCACGTTGTACACGGTGCATCGGGTATCCTCACTTCAAAATGGTGGAGGTGGTCGGTGACCGAGGAAACAGTTTTGCAGATAGAGAACATGTTTTGATCATTACCACGTCCTGTTCTCATCAGAACCCCTCCGATATCTCTGTGTCAAAACACTAACATCATATTTCGCCCCTTAGACGGAGGAGAACCTGATGGGCATGACCAGTTTCCGGGAGGTTCTGGAGAAGATGCTTGTGATTGTGGTGCTGCCGGTGAGGAAGAGTTTGAGGAAGGAAGTGGAGCTGTTCTCTCCACACCTGGTCTCCAACACCTGCGGTCTACTGGCCTCCATCGTCTCCGAGCTCACCGCCTCGGCCCTGGGCTCCGAGGTAACTTGACTCGCGCTGATATTCACGCACCCTCACAAAGACAAACATGAGGCTTGTTTGTAGGGCATCAGAGCTTAGTTTTTGGCAAACATACACCCAAGTCCAGCGTCCTATAAGACAACATAAGTCCTGATCTGCTCTCTTTGTGCTCATGTGGTGCTTTTTTTTTTACATTTGTTAACCTCTGCATCCGTTGTTGCTTTTTAAAACAGCTGGGATCAAAGTTACATTCAGAATGGTCACAGTGCAGCCCCCTCATTCTTTTTCTTACTTCCTTCCTCGGGCCATGTCCTTTTACTTAAAGCTCTGTTGTGATCGCACTAACCTTTCGTAGTGACAGCTTTTTCTTGGAACACGGTGATGTCTCTACTGATGCCAAAAACACAGTAACAAAAATGTTTTTTTTATTATTGTAATAATATATTGATCCCGTTAAGGGGGAAATTTGTCTCTGCATTTGACCCATCCCTGTATATAGGGAGCAGTGGGCTGCCAATGACAGGCGCCCAGGGAGCCTGGGGGTTCAGCGTATTGCTCAGGTACACTTCGACACGTGACATGTCCCAGTCGAGGATCGAACAGTTGACTTTCCGGTTCCCAGACAACCCTCTTAATCCAGTGAGCCACGGTCGCCCTTAAACCAGTTCCCCAAAAGAAGTTTTATATGTTGAGTCACTAAGTGGGTGTGACAGATGCCTGTCGCCTTCCCTCTGTCACACTCTTAGATGAATTATCATCACATGCATACCCTTGTACTGCAGACTCTGGTGTTCTCGTCACCATAGGAACCGTCACTCGACGACAGTCCCTATTTTTTTTTTTTTTCTCCCCAGTCTGTTGTCAGGGAAACAACTCTTCCTCCCCTGAGCACCTGGATAGGGTCCCTGTGCAGTCGTGTCTGGCTCTCTGTTGATAGAAATAGTAATAGTTTGTATTGTTTATTTCAGACAATGGATCTTTTAGAGATCATCCATGTTTTCTGTTTGTCCATCCCTCGGTCCATCCCATGCTCTTCAATGTCATGTCTCAGGAATACCTTGAGTGAATTTGTTCTAATTTGGCACAAATGTCCACTTGGACTGAAGGTTACCCTGATTAGAATTTGGTGGTTAAAGGTCAAATGTCACTGTGATCTCATAAAACACCTTTTTGGCCATAACTCATATCCTACTTATGACAATTTCCCACAAATACCTAATAGGATATAAATGATGACGTTGTGGACAGACATGATTGTAAACTGCAACATAACTGGTTGGCAGAGGAATACAACCACGAGGCGGTAATTCTAGCGCAGGATTTCGTTGTTTGGAGTAAAATAAATGTGTTAATCAGCCCTGCGTGCTTATGTAAGAGGTTTGATGTGTTTGGCCACATCTCTTATTGTGTCCTTGCTTGTTAGGTTGATGGGCTGAACTCGCTCCACTCCGTGAAAGCATCCCCGAACCGTTTCACCAAAACGAGCCAGGGCCGCAGTTGGAACACGGGCAATGGCTCTCCGGATGCCATCTGTATGACTGTAGACAAGCCAGGCGTTGTGCTGGTTGGCGTGTGCGTCTACGGGGGAGGGGGCATCCATGAGTATGAACTGGAGGTGCTGGCCGACGACGTAAGTGATTAGGAATCATCTTCAGCTCATATTTTCTGGTGTTGCTTGACTAGCTTTCTTCCTTTGCCTCTTTTTACAACTTGTTCCCATCACCCTTCAGGCACAGACGGAGCACCCAGGGGACTCGGCACATTCTCACAGGTGGACATCCCTGGAGCTGGTGAAGGGCACCTACAGCACCGACGATTCTCCCAGCGATATTGCTGAGATTCGCATGGACAAGGCCGTGCCGCTCAAGGTACATAGGTTCTCGAGAAAATAATACATGCATATGATTTGCAGTTGAGATACAAATCTTTTTTTTTTTAACTTCCTACACATGTGTGCTGATCTTAGTTCAAATGCATATAGTCTCACTGATGAATTTATTCTGTTGCAGGAGGGTGTAAAGTATGCTGTGCGGTTACGGAACTACGGCAGCCGGACAGCTAACGGGGATGGAGGCATGACCACGGTGCAGTGCTCCGACGGTGTTTCGTTCACCTTCAGCACCTGCAGCTTGAGCAGCAATGGCACCAACCAGACCAGAGGACAGATCCCACAGCTTCTCTACTACAGGTCCACACAGCCGGCATTTTCTAACATCTAGTCTGTGAAGTATTTGGGAGTTATTTTTCTGACTTTTTTTTCTTTTTCTCGTGGCTGAAGGAGTGAGTATGACGGGGATCTTCAGTCTCAGCTGCTGAGCAAAGCCAATGAGGAAGACAAGAATTGTAGCAGAGCTCTGTCCGTGGTCAGCGCTGTGGTCAGAGCTGCGAAGGACCTGCTTAACAGGGCTTTTGCTGTCGATGGTAAGAGCAACAAACGTATTACAAAAGCATTGCAGCAGAGCCACTTGCATTGAATTTGGATCTTATCTGTTCAGCCTCTCTTCAGTTTAATCAATGTGCTTTTATTTTCTCCAGTGGATGATATTCCCGAGCTACTGAGTTCCTCCAGCCTGTTCTCCATGCTGCTGCCCCTCATCCTGGCCTACATCGGCCCCGTGGCTGCGTCTGTACCTAAGGTAAGATGGTAAAGCCTTTATCTTGGTTTAGTGAATTGTCTCTCTCTGATGTGGCATCGTGGTGAAATGCCTCGCTCTCCCTCATCCAGGCAGCCGTTGAGGTCTTTGGACTCGTTCAGGAGCTGTTGCCTGCTGTCTCCGCCCTCAACCAAAAGTACGCCCCACCCACCTTCAACCCGAACCAGTCAACAGACAGCACGACCGGCAACCAGCCTGAGCAGGGCCTGTCGGCTTGCACCACCTCAAACCACTACTCGGTGATTGAGAGTGACCACCCTTACAAACAAGCTGGCGTCACACAATACAGGGTAAGGTATCCTTTGGTATGCTAACTGCTTAGCAAGAGACTTCCATCTGTAAGAAGTCAGAGACACAAATGTAATTTAAAGTCCAAAAATAAATCTTGCTCTGTCTCGCCTTGCCTCAGGTGTCTTTCCCCGACTGTGTCCGCTGGACCACCATTGAGTTTGATCAGCAGTGCGGCACTGCGCAGCCAGAGGACGTCCTGCGCCTGCTCATCCCCAGCCGTACCCTCCACCTGTCCAACCTGGGGGGCAAACCTTTGATCCATGACACCATCAACACCTGGACTGATCTCAAGAAGTTCTCTGGCTCCACTGGCTGGCCAACCACCATCCTGGTGCTGCCAGGTAAGAGAGGCGGAGCAAATGAACATTTATCAGTAGTTATGAAGGTTATGACTGTTGTTTTGGCAATAACAGAATTGCAATAAATCCACAAGTTCTAAAAGCCAAGAGGCGTGGTTGATTTAATACATAGTAGACCGATAGAGATAATAAGTTTACCACATAAAATTAAAGATCTTCTTCCGTCTAAAATCAAGACATTAACCTTTTGAAGACAGTTAATTACATTTGACAACTTTTGCTTCCCAATATTAGTGCTTTTTAACATTATCATTGCCTTCTAAGTGATTGCACTTCTCTGATATTTAAATTCATCAGCACTACGATTGCATGTAATACATTTGTCATTTAAAGTGCTTTTCAGACTTGCAATTAAGAGCAGTTATCTGAAAAACAACTTTAATGAACTTTAATGAAGATGAAATGTTTGTCTTTTAAAATTTTATTCTGGACAGAATCATAAAATGCTAAGCTAGCATCTACTGCCCAACCAACTATCTAGCCCCGAAGCAGCAGCAGAGTCTGGGATGATGTGCTACATACCTTAAAGGGATAGCTAGGATTTTTTCAAGTGGGGTACTTCTCCAAAGTCAGTGTTTTACCTACAGTAGATGGAGTTGGGAGAAACAGACAGTATTGCCAGCATGGGATCAAAGCAATGTACTGCTGTGGAAGTATTGTAGACACCTAAAAAATCATTATCAGTCCACTTATACCCTGTTTTTAGAATACCTTCACTGCTTTACCTTGCTGTCAGACAGCCCTTTCTGACAGGGAACTAAAGCTATGATATCCATCTATGGTCTGCAAAGACACAGGGCTCCTTTGACAGAACCAGTAATTTCACCTTGCAGAACACAGGAGTTGCTGGTCTACCGCTGCCTCGATAAGCTCGTTTGTTTGTGTTACTGTGTGATGTTATTGATTTAATGAGTTTGTTCAGATTCATCAAAGTCACACAATACCACCAACAAAATGACCGTCAGAGGCAGCGGTAGACCAGCAACTCCTGTGTTCTGCTAGATAAAATGACTGTTTCTGTCAAAAGAGTCCTGTGGCTTTAAAGGAGAGCATCGATAACGGCTTCAGCTCCCCGTCAGAAAGGGCTGTCTGACGGCAAGGTAAAGATATTCTTAATAGAGCATATCCTTGAACTGAAATAAACTTTTTTTTTAGGTATCTAAAATAGGTTTTGCTGCCGCTCCGTCTACAGCTGTACATTGCTTTGCTCCCGTGCTGGTACTCCTGTCTGTTTCTCCAAACTCCATCTACTGTAGGTTAGACACTGACCATGGAGAAATACCTCATACAACCCCACAAAAATCCAAACTATTCCTATATTGGGGAAAATTTAGCAACAAAAACAGGCAAACATGTTCTTTATTGAGGTACTAGCAATATGTATGTATATATGTGTAGCATGATGTAGTAGTGAATGAGTGGTGACACCATTCTAAACACAGCTGTAGTTCAGTGATCTTAATTGTTCTCATCTGCGCTTTAATCTCCTCACTCCTTAATGATGCTTCACTGAGCCACCTGCCACAGCAGGCAGTCATTAGTTTACCAGCGATTCCTTGCATACAATACTCCGCCCACCTGTCTCTCTTTTCATCTTCTGTTTTTCTGCCCTCTCTACTTTCAGGAAACGAAGTTCTGTTCTCACTGGAGACGGCCTCGGACTACGTCAAAGATGAGAAAGCTTGCTTTTACGGCTTCAAGTGCGTAGCCGTGGGATACGAGTTTAACCCCGGCCCCGATGAGGTACAGACACACTCGTATATTCTTCTGTATATTGTGCAGCGGGATGGACTTGCATTTTTTTATGCATAATGGAAAAAACCTTCCTGACCATAGCATTATGGACATTTCAGGGTATCATCCAGCTGGAGAAGGAATTGGCCTACCTGGGCAGTGTGTGTGCTGCAGCTCTGATGAAGAAAGACCTGGCCCTCCCTATAGGTATGGAAAACTGTGGATGAGGGGATTTGCTTCGGCTGTTGTAAACAACCCGTTTCTCTATTAATTAAGTTATGTGTGTTACTGCTAGGAACAATAATATTGTTTAACGTCTTGAGTAAATCAATCATCTGGTATTCTAATCTTTAACTTAAGGTAATGAACTGGAAGAGGATCTTGAGATCCTTGAGGAAGCCTCTCTTCAGGTTTGTCCTCTTTTAAGTTCAGAGATACTCCTATTTGTTGTCTGGTGGAAAGGATTTTATATTTCATCATCACTCTACCTTCCCTGATTCTTATTTCCTCTGACGTCACCCCAGGTGTGTAAGTCCCACTCCGGGATCCTGGGGAAGGGTCTGGCCTTGTCTCACTCCCCCACCATCCTGGAGGCCCTGGAGGGAAATCTGCCGCTGCACCTCCAAACCAATGAGCACTCTTTCCTTGAGGACTTCATCACCTGTGTACAGACATCCAGCGGAGGACGTCTGGCCAGGTAAACGTTTGTGGAGCCTGTCAATTCTAGTTACCTAAACAGAGCAAAATATACTGTGCATTCTCCATTTTGAACTATGTGTTGGTTGTAAATTTTATTTTAGCTTTCCCTCTGCAATCTCATTTTGTTACAGATTAGAAATTTACAATCTTGTCTCTCTTCTTTTGTCCTTTTCTTTCATCCAGGTGGCTACAGCCAGACTCTTACGCAGACCCCCAGAAGACATCTCTGATCCTGAACAAAGATGACATACGCTGTGGGTGGCCGACTACTGTGGTCGTACAGACCAAAGACCAGTATGGAGATGTGGTGCACGTTCCTCACATGAAGGTTAGGGTGATTCCTTTGGCTTCCAAGAGATTTTGGAAGATCAGAGCTGCGTAATCATTTTTGCCTGCTTTGGCAAAAATCTGACACGTGTGTCTCATCTCTTACATGTCCAGGTGGAGGTAAAGGCCGTGCCCGTTTCACAAAAGAAGTCGATGCAGCCGGACAATGTGAAGAGGCTGCAGCGGCTACCTGGGAGCTCCTCGCCGTCGTCCTCTGGCCCAGACTTAACCTTTGGAGGTTTGCCAATGCCCAAACTGGAGGCCACGTATGAGCCCATGATCGTGAAAGAGGCTCGATACATCGCTATAACCATGATGAAGGTCAGTATCATGGAACTGGTTTATAAACTCACTTGTTTACATTTTGAGGGCTGCAGGTGCTCCACAAGGTGAAGCTATTTAGTCATTATTAGATCTCCACACCAACCTGTGACCCCTACTGGACGTGCAAGTAATTGCAGATTAGACCTGCAGTTGCAATATTAACACATTTTAATAGTCAGGTTTTTTTTTTCGTGTTTGCATTTTCACATCAAACACTTATTATTTACAATAAGATACTCAATATAAAAAGAAGCCAAAAAGGAGAGTAAATTGACTGAATAAAGACATTGAATCAAAATTGCAAAAATTGAGGAAGTAGTCTGACTCACTGGATGTAGACCGTCGTTGGTGTATAAGTCTGACATTGGCCGTCAACGCGGCGTTCTCCTCCCTTCCACTATTTGCGCTATCTACTTCGCCGTCCCTGCATCATCGGCCTAGCGCCGCCCAAGACGATTTTGATTGTTTTTAAAGAAATATGAACAAGCAAGAGCGTCCTTCCCCCCCCATAGCAGAATAATAATGTGTGTGGATGGATTATAATTGCACCTAAGGGAGCTACAGTGTGCCGACCTTCATTTATATTATTTCGACTATTGAGGAAGCAATGCATAATGAAACGTTTAGAAACAAGTAAGGAAATTTGGCAGAATAAATCATGTCGAAACATAAATGTATATTGTGAAAAAATATATTTTTTATTTAGGGAACATCATAATAGTTGGTTATAAAGAGAAAAAAAGCACTTTATTTTGGTAAACCAGTGTTTTTGTTATTGACGTCATACTTGTGCACTTTGTCTTTGCAGGCTTATGAAAACTACTCATTTGAAGAGCTGCGCTTTGCCTCCCCCACCCCAAAGAGGTAAGTGAGGTTATGCAGGAATAAAATACATTTCCCAGTGAGATACAACCTACTTATTGATCCTTTCCCACACAGACCCAGTGAGAACATGCTGATTCGTGCCAACACTGACGGAACCTACAGCGCCAACTGGACTCCGGGAGCAGTAGGCCTCTACACAATCCACGTCACCATTGATGGCATTGAAATAGGTATGTCAATGGAAACGGCTGAAGTATTTCCCACATACAGGGTATGCATTGATGACCGTCACCAACCCCCACCAAGTGACATAACGTCACGCGGCTGCCGTGCATATGGATTAATCCATAGTTTAAAAACGTTGAGGCCTTTCTGATTAGTCGGTGAATCGCCGTCATTTTCAGATTTTGAGCTGTAAATCTTTTCTTTTATAGATGCTGGTTTGGAGGTAGAAGTCAAAGACCCCCCCAAAGGCATGATACCACCTGGCACTCAGATGGTCAAACCAAAGGCTGAACCTCAGCCTAGCAAGGTGAGCTCAACCAGGGGCATGAACATGCACATAAACACACCTATAAATGCATGCATGCTTGCAAATCCCCCATCAAACACACCAGAGACCAGACGCAGTTTATGCTGTCTTCTATACCTATCAACACCCATCTGTAACTTTAACTAAACTCTTACCCTAAAAGCCACATTGAGCAATAATTTGATACAAACATTGAAACACGGATCTCCCTGTAATATGAAAGGGCTGTTAGTGCTGCCCACTTGCACTGACAATCAACATCTTATTTTGCACCTCCTTGTTTTGGTCTGACAATCAGATCTATTGCTGGTCCGTAGAAAGCAATGGACACAAAACTGATTGTCAGCCATCTGTCCAAGTGCAAGCTGATGGAACAATATCAGATTTTATCATGGATCGCAATTTAAAAGAAAAAAAAAAAAAACTGTTGATAAGTCGATCGTGGTGAGTTTCCATTATCGGGATCATTGTGAATATCGTCACATGAGTGACTTAAAAAATAAGCTGACTTGCTCACTATCATTGGAGATAGGGGCGTCACCATACACTGGTATTAACGATGACCGTGATATTTACAAAATGAAATACTGATATGTCAATAATGCACATATGATGATATTGTGTAAATAATCTAGTGCCTCTTAAATCATTTTATATATACGGTTATGGTTGGGCAAGAATTCAAAATGATTTATCGTCTTCCCATGGAATCATATTGTGATGAAATCGTACATGAAGATATTGTGATACACAATTATATCATCTGAATTGATAATAACAAGCTTGTATTAAAAAGAAAATCTGATTATATTGCAAATTAAAATGATAAAATACTTGTCATTTGATTTAACGTATATCGGGATAAAAGATTTTGGACACATCGCCCAGCCATGATTATAGTTACAGAGTCTCAACCCACCTACACTCATATTTTGAGTTTAGTTAATTTGCCAAAAAAGAGACAAAACGCACAACAACCAAAGTTAAAGATTTTGTGACAGCCCTGGGATCGAAAACAAACTAGTGAAGGAATTCAGGTGTTTTCAAGACTCTGCAGACTAACCCAGCGCTAACAGGCTTAGACCTCCTTTGCATTTATCGGGTGATAAGACAAAGAACTCCAGTGTGATGTTGCTTTACTTTGTTGAATGTGCAAATAAGCAACCGCTTGATAGTATGATGCACTAAATACCAAAGGTTTATTATCGAGTCCATTTGTGGCCAAAAAACCCTTTTAATTATAGTTATTCGTGCTCAGGTTTTGTATGAATGAACATGTAGACTGCTGGTTCTGTATCTCAGCCTTCTCATCTCTTCAAACTGCATTGATTGATTGTTACTCATAGATAAAAAAAAGTAGAAAGTGATTTGGAATTACTTTAAATGCCGATGCTGCATCAAACTGATGCATGGCATGTCGGGGTCATCATCATTTTGTGAAACTTGGTGGTATTCTGATTTTGCAATCCATAATGGGGAAACAAGCAAAATCCTGCTACTTTTAACCAGCACTGCGTATATTCCTTGGGAGCATGTGTTGCATGGCTTTCCACACACAAGTGTCAATGTAGGATCAAAAACTAACTTCATCCAACCGGCACTGCTGAAAACGGAGCTCCTGAAGCCTTCGCCTTTCGCTGTTTGTGTGTGTGTGTACTTGGAAGCAGGCTCTGTGTGGGTTAAAGTATGCGACCTCCCACCGTCAACTTGCCCTGCTTCCTCTTCCTCCTCCTGCTGCACTTCTTGTCTATTTTTTTTAATTTATTTATTTTTTATTCCTTGCTCCTGCCGCTCACGGTCTCCATCTCCCCCTCTGCTTCTCTCAGGTCCGCAAATTTGTGTCCAAGGACAGCGCAGGCCTGCGTGTGCGTAGTCACCCCTCCCTGCAGAGCGAACAGATAGGCATAGTGCATGTCAATGGCACCATCACTTTCATTGACGAGGTAACTGGCTCTAGACCAGGCAGAGTATACGTTATGTTATAGAAGTATGTCAGCTGGAGCACTATCCACTTTGATTCTATTTCCTCCTTCTTTAAATCAGTAAGGATAGAATCATAAGTAGTGTCTGCTATTTTCTTTTGCTAGTTTTAGAACTTTTGAGTCCTGCTTGGTGTCTTCTATGTATTATGTGTTATTACCTCTCTAAATAATTACTACTTTCTTGCAAAGCTTATAAATTGGTTGCTCTTAACTTTAATTTGCTTCATACTCTTGCAAGATACTCTGAGGCTACATGAAAGGCTTGAGCGCCTGCAAAATAAATCCAAAGGACGAGATGCATTTAAATCCAAATATTTAAAATTGTAGCACTCAAAGCATTTGCTCAATGATTGTAGTGTTATGCAACACATCATCTGTGTTTGTATCCATTTTAAATGCACCCTGCTGTAACCTCAATTTACTGTCGTCTAGTTTGACTTGAGACTGTCCTGCAACCTCAGAGGTGTTGTGTGTGTGTTAGTGTGTGAGGGCGCTGCCCATCCTGTTTCCATAGTAATAGGACGGCATGGCTCTGCCCTGCTCTGTTGCTCTTGTTTCCCCCCCGTAGATCCACAATGATGATGGTGTGTGGCTCAGGCTCAATGACGAAACAGTAAAGAAGTATGTTCCCAGCATGAATGGGTACACAGAAGCCTGGTGCCTCTCTTTTAACCAGCACCTGGGCAGGAGCCTACTGGTCCCAGCCGACGTAAGTAGAAGACGGCCCCGCTGAGCGGCCCGTCCCAGTTTGATAAAGACAGAGGCTCCTGTGCTGTTCATTTGGGGGACAAAGCTCAGAGATCATCTTTATTGTTTAACAATCACAGTTTATTTTTCACTCCCCCAAATGTACTCGAAGCATGGTAAATTGAGAGCTTTAATCAGAGCTGGGGTGTTCTCTCGCATCAAACATCTGGTTGCAGCAACACGGAGTATGAAACGTTCACAAACACACCGTGCAAAGGAACAGCAGCTGGGAGCTTGCATGTGTTGACTCACGTTTGACGGCAAAAAAACGTTCACCACAAAGTGACAGCAGTTGGAAATGTTCACATGCTTACATTGTATATGTTTAGTGCACTGAAGTGAACCCCAATGCAGGGGAAAAAACAGGGTAGCCAAGGTGTGATTTCATCCCGTGGTGAAGTTAGTCTGCACTTTTCCTCATTGCCTCACTAGTCACCCTTACACCACAGCATGTGTTAACAAGTGTTTCCCTTACATTTCTGCTCCATGCCACAAAAACCGCCACAACATGTAAGAGAATTAAAAACATTTTTTACAATGGAACGTGACTGGGTGTGATCGAAGACTTGAATATTGCAGTAACAGGGAAATTATCTGAAAGAAGTTGTTGATATCCAGGTGGTTTTCTGTCATGAAGCAATCACTGGTCCGCAAAAACAGTTTCAATGGGAAAATTGTACTGCTCTACAATTCCACCCGTTGCTGTGGGAGGCTTTAGGTGCTTGGGAGGCTTCCATGTAAGGTCTCTTGTCTGAACAGCATGACACACTACATCATCCAAGTGGGGAATTTTTTTGGAAGTTTTCCTCTTTTTATGTCATTTGGTCGTGGATTTGGAAATACTCACTCCGTTGTGGTTGGAGTGTCCTTTCAATTCTTCTTTTGTATTTTTACACTTACTGTAAAGTGTTCAAACATTTGACAGGCTTGGCCTGGATCTACAGTGCTCCACAATTTCACCATCTGGCCTGTCAGATTCTGTCCTCTCTTCTTCTCTTTCTCAAATAACCCTCTGATGCTGAATTCCAAAGGAGCCAAGCCAAAAAACCTTTTATTTTCTTCCAAAAAAATACACGAGCGCCTTCCCCCATCCAGTTCTCTCTCTCTCTCTCTCTCTCTCTCTCTCTCTCTCTCTCTCTCTCTC